GTAATTTCAGAGTACAGAAAGCCAATGTGTCAAGGATAAGAGATGTTTTAAGAGCAATTTTAGGCAAACCTACCTAAGGAACATTTTGCCCAAAAGCAATGCAAAAATTACTGGCAATATGACCTGTCCTTCATTTAACCCATACTAGCACAGGGTCCAGTGCACCGATGTGAAGTTGACGCAGAGGACATATTTTTGCAGACCAAATCGAGTCCGCGGCTCAAAAATCTTAAAAGGTCACGGGTGATGCGCCACCTTCATCCAAAAAGCACACACACGGATCTTATTCAGCCTACCTGAAGAGCCATCACCTTCAACCGGTGGGAGGCCCACCGGCTTCTCTTCCTGTTGCCTATCTTGAGGCTGTGAACAACATTCCAATCGTCCACCCGCCCCACCCCACCAACCGCCCCAACACCCTCCCGTCGCTGCGTCGCCGACGTCGCTATTGGTTGTTTTGGTCGATGTGAACAAATCAGACTGCTGCCGACCTTGGGATCACTGACGGCCTGTTTCGTATCACTTACCTTAGGTGCATGTGCCACGGACACAATGTACAGCGGTAGGCCGACAAATAGTAATGTCCAATAAGCTTGCAGACATGCTACCAGCCGCACAACACTTTGCGTCCTTCAGCAGCAAAGCAGCTCATAGTAGGTGTTTAAAAACAGAACCTGGATTAGCGCAACCAAATTTCGGGCCCGCTAAGCTGTCAAATAAGACAGCTGCTTTATTCCATTCAGGACACAGGCACATTTCCTCCTTTCCACATCCGTAGCGGTATGCCCTTCAATGTACATGAAGATAGGGCGTGCAGAGGTGCAGGCAGGCCGAGGGGCACAATAACAGCGGCACGCTCCCGTTAGGACCCAGGGGGCGGGTCCCTGTGGACCGATGATCATTGGCCCAATGAAGGACCCTGACGGTCCACGGCGTAGTCTGGAGGTCGAGGGGTGTCCCACCTTTGGGGCGTATTTCAAAAACATGCTCTAGGGAACATCGGGACTAGTTACGTCTGATAATAATCCTAGATATTACCACTGCAGCACCGTCAAGGCGTAATAAAGATATTAATCTTAATTATTTTCGAGCCCAAATTACGTTGCCAAGGCATCGTACAAGTACTCAATTTCTTCCCTGTGGTAGCGACCATCGCCATCATGACAAATACCGTTGCCATCCTCCACTGAACAAATACAAGAACGTTTGTGACTGGTCTAGCGGGCGGTAAGGGCCTGCTACCGAAAAGCGCGCTAGTTTAATCTTAAACCAGTGCACTACTATAGATAATGCGATACTTCCAATTCCAAAGCCAGGATGCACCCCAAAAACAGCCGCTGTGCTAAATATCATAGGAGAAAGATGGAAGCTATAGTACGACGCTTCACTAAATTTGCGGGATGATAGCTCCATGCTCGCATTTCTTTTTGCCTGTAAAGGGTGTTTCGAGTTTTCGTGCAGTTCAATACACAAACATGTTGACACAATTATGTGTTACAGAGTAGAACACACACTCTGGAAAAAGCAAGTCAAATGAAGCGTGTTACTTTCATAGTGGTGGGCTTAGAGTCGAATCAGATTCCTCTCGCAGGGTTTGCTACTTCAAAAAGAAATTGTGAGCTTTTCAGAGGGAGTTCGAAAAATTGGTATTAGTGATAACATGATACGCGTCTGGTGTAACAATAAGTGAAACTTACAAAAAAGTGGGATGCTCCCTCTAAGGCATTCTCACTAGCGTGGCAAGGTCCTTTAATACCGATCAGAGGGTGTCTTGCACCGATCAGACATCTTTGGACGACTGACTCTGTGTTGGTCAGATATTACGAATGCAGGGCATCGCCCCCGTCTTGGTCTGGGCCTCAAAGATCCATTTCCCAGGCTAAGACAAGGCCGGGCCACGCTGTTTTCATCAGGGCCTCTGCGATTTATCGGGGTCCCTTAAAAACTCTGCTACCTTTTCAACACCCGCGATAATTTAAAAGCGTCTTGAGTGTCATTACGACTTTTTTCGTAGCTAGCAATTGATGACTTCTACGCATTGCGCCAAAATAACGGCTATGAGACACTAATAATTGAAGCGTGAGCGACACCAGAGCTACGTCATATTTGCTAATTTTGGACAAAAACTCATACCATTAGACAAATTGACACAGCAGCCAAGCGAAAAAAGATATCTGACATCTGTAAACGGGAAATGTGAACCAGTTAGTTTATCATTCATATGCCTTGTCTGCGTGTCGTTTCAATATTGCACATTTGAATTTAAGCATGTCAAAGATACAAAATATTGATTAAAGCTGAGACCTTCGATACAAATTATGAAAGTATAAAAGAAGTTGTCCAAGATACGGCTGTGAAGGATGTCTGTGCCGAGTTTCAAGCAATGGACTATAACCATGACTGAGTTATGGTCTGAAATGCATCACAGCGCATGTTGCCCGTACCCAGATGGGCCCGGTCCCGCGGCGGCAGGCGGCGTGGCTCAGGTTTGTCGCAGCGGCGCGGTGACGGGGCGGCAGAAGCCGTTTATTAATTTCACGCAAACAGACGATCAAGTGACTGAAGGCGGAGTTGAAGGGTATCAGGTGGCGCTGTCGGCAGCACTAAACCGTCGAAAACAGGGCGAATATCAGCCCCACCGCTTATTTTCCACCGATGTTATCCATTTGACCTTGACCTTAGACGGTTTATGAACAAGTAACAGCTCTTGCTCACATGTCTGATGCCCGTGATTGCGACTAAGCTCTTAAACTTTGCGTTTGCATGGCTGAAATATGACGGAAATAGAGCGACCAAAATAGACATATATACCAAGGTTCCTACTCTCATTTGCACTGCACGTGACCTCGGCTCTAGACCTGGTAGGGCGCGCGTACGACCGGATACCTTGCTATGTAGCATGTTTGATCAGAGCGCAATTGTTTCACACGATGAGATACACTTCTAAGTGGGATGCGTTGCGGAGCCTTCAGATATTTCAAACTAATACTTTAAGAATTTGGCCTTGACCTGTAAGCTTAATGCATACCTAAACTTAACTTTGTTGTGTGATCTGAAACCGCACGCCACAGTGCTATGAAAAACATTCAAATTTCTGAGTTTGGACTGCCGTGCTTGAAATAAGCGGGAGGTGGGGGGGGGGGGGGGGGTCAAACCTGCCCCTCCGGTCAACGGTGTGCCGCTGTGGAGCCTGGTCAATATCGGACTAAACAGTGCCGGCCTATACCTGTGTGTCCTGTGCCGGCCAGGGGCATATAAGTGTCTACTAACGCAGAGTAGACCCTTGTGTCTACCCTGCGTCGACGAGCGACCGCGAATCGGCCAGGGACACACTCGCTAAATTGGGATGGGGACGGCACCCGGAATGTCACGTCTCAGAGCATCTTGCGCTGTCGGGGCGTTCTGGCAATGAGGGATGAGAAGTGACAATTGAAGGGGCTACAGTGAGGCCATCGAAGAAGCCCACTTCAGCCAGCGACCCACTAAGCTGAACTGGGACCCCTGTGCCAATTACTGAAACCTTTACGCCGGTAATTACCGGCGATTTATACTCGGGGCGGACTGCCACGTACAGCATCACGAAGTCGTGGCGCGGTGACGTAATTTCTCTCGCTCGTGTCACTGTGACATTTAATTCTGTTCAGAGAATCAACTTCAAGATTACACAGGTAAAATGCTTCTGTCAGGAGCTAAAGGATATTCCGTCCCATCTCGGGCTCCCTAGCAGCTGCCATCCTGTCGATACGCGAGCAGTTGCGCCCTGGTCGGCATGGAGGTGCACTTCAGACTCTCCGATCGGGCCCTTGACCATCCGCTCCAAGTGCCGGATGGTGCTTGAATATTTGAAATCACCTAAAAATTTTGAGTGATCTAGAGTTCTCCGTCCTTTGAGCCTGAATATGACCTTGAAGGCAGACTTCGAGAGTCAAAACTTTTTGATGAACGCTACTTCGTGCGCTGTAAATATTCTGATCCTTAAAGATAAAAATTCGGGCTGTAACTTCTCGGCGACACAGATTTCGCCATGCGTTGATCCTGAATTTGACCCTGGTGACGTATGTAAAATAGACGTCACCTTTGATGTTCCCGCGCCATCATTGACCACCTGGTATTTTCAGTGAGATCGGAACACTCGTCGTTAAGTAAAGGCTGTCCACATCGCCAACTTCACGGACAAACTTCAAGCTACACCCCATTCCATCCCAAGATGGAATCCTGCGTGTACGTCCCTGCTCTTGCGACACCGCTCCTCGCACTCAGAATATCTTATGATTTTCATAGTCTCTCTTACATACAGAAAACTGTCTTCGTACTAGATGCCAAACCACGCCCCACTCTTGCGCGCGCTGTAACATACATCGGTACCGGACGGGCCTGAGCTTCGGTCGTGGATCGTCACAACACTTCAATCCCTTGCGTGCAAATTCATGGTGATCCGTGCAGCCGTCTGTGCTGTAGTCTGGGCGAAGGATATGTGCAAACAGATCGACAGACGGACACAAATAAATGCCCTTAATCTAGCTGTTTAAATTTGCTAAGATGCTAATACCTTATTTGATGTCGTATAAAGACAAAATATGCAAATGCCAGCTCCCTTGCCTCGTGTAGACACCACAAGACCTCAAATCATTCTCGGGAAATAACACTTGCTTTTAAAAACATTTTCCTGTGTCTTTATGTCCTCTCGCATATGTGAGACCCGGAGGCAGTTAACCAGCCAGCCCGCAACAGAATGTCGCTTGACACCCAGCCGAGAAAGCCGCCACATCAAAAGACATTATATTGTCCAGTCTCCAAATGCCGACACGTCTCTCCACCATTCATCGTTCAGCCCACGCACTGCACGGTCGCGCGCGCTCCTTCCGGTCGTCAGTCACCAGGCGCGCCGCTGCATCGGAAGGACGGGAGACAGTCAGAGACAGCGGCGGCGTGGGCCCCGGCCGGTCGCCGCCGCCGCCGCCCCCGGGGTGCAGTCCAGCGGGCGGCGGCGGCAGCCGCCGGACCTTCTCTCACGGCTATCTAAACTCGACTAGAACAATCCCGCAGCTGTTTTCACACGCGCCGTGTGGCCGTCGCTAGTTGTGAGACTGGACTCCAACGCAAACCGTCCGGCCGGGGCCGCGCACGCAGGATTATTGCGCGTTATATACACTCGGCGCGGTCGTTCGCACGCTCGCAGGCTTGGGCTGCCGCCGACGCCGCTGGGGGCGCAGCTCGCCCTGCACTTGCCAAGTCGGGGGTCGTTCGGTAGAGGGGACAGTCTGAAATGGGACGGCGCCGGTCAGGTGACGCGCGGCGACGGAGCCGACAGCCGCTCTGCTATTCGCTGTTTGTTGATCGACAGTATCACCACACCTTGTTTAACCAATGCGCTCTGTCTACTCCTGCTCTAAGAAGTGAAAGACGGCTGCATGTAACGGCCACGAAGCAAGGCTAGAGATGTTTCAATGCCTGTGCGCTAGACTGTGCCGCAAGCCCAGATGGCGTGCGGTGCAGCATAACTCACACGATGTTCTTTTTATCCCTGCATGCGCCCGAGCCACCAACCCCGGACATGTCAGCGTGGGGCGCTGTTTCCTGGTGACCAGGCTTCCGGAATGCCACGAGTGTGGGCTATTTACAGAGAGCAGCAGCCGCAGGCATCCCAGAGATCAATGACACACCCTTTTGCATCCTCGCGGGCACAGAAGTGCCGGGTGGCCCACACGCGCATCCCAGAACCGCCACCCACCTGGTACGCGGCGTTAATTTTGTTTGGCGGTGACGTTAAGGGAGAAGTTGGCCACCGTCTCGTCGCCGCCTGCCGCCTGCGCCTTCACCGAGTACTGGCCGACGTCGTTGGCGGCACAGGCGGTCACATCCAGCTGGTGGCTGGTCCCCTCCCCGCCCAGTTTCAGCCGGCTGTTGGTGTCGTCCAGAGGCTTGCCGTCCTTGCACCACGTCACTGCGGCGGCACGGGGGCGGCAGTCAGCGGCCGCCGCGGACGACGGCGGCGGACAAAGGGACACTCCTGGCCCGCAGAGAAGCAGGGGAACACTCTTGGCGCAGAGAGATGTCTGAGACCGTCCTCGTCCTCACCGCGTCCTCACGGTGTCGTCCTGATCACCGATGTCACGGGGTCTGGGCGGGCCACTGTTCACCGTGGCACATCTTCACAGGTCATACTCACAGTTCACATATTTAGAACTGGCGGACTAAGGACTGTCGTTGGAAACAAGGATTAGCACATGACATGCTGGAATTCTCGGTTGAGTTTTGGGATGGGTTTCCCGGGAACATTAGGTAATGGGATGAAACACAGTGGCATGCATGTCGAACTATGTCTAAGCCACATTCCTTCCTTAACTTTGTCCCAATGTCTACAAATCATTAGCCAGGACCACAAAGGCCTCCAAATGTGACCGCAGACTTAGCTGTAGGGTGCACGCAGGAGGCAGAGGCTTATCACAGGCGAGGCACAATCAATGAGCCAATCCAAGCTCACCATCGTGACGAATTCATGTTCGGAGGTTTCAAGGGTGATGGCTAAAGATACCACACGTTTAGTAGCGACCCGCGAACGGTCAGATTTAATTTGGTTGCATGTGCAAGTATGTATCCTACCTTTGGTGGCCGGCTTCTCTAACGTGAAGGCGAAGTGGGCCGCCTGCCCTTCGGCCACCGTCGCCGAAACGGGGAATGTCTTGAAGGCAGGCTGCTTCATCTCCTCGTTCGGCACTGGAGAGCAAACAGGGGCTGCGTTCGTCATAGGGCACCTCAAAACAATGTTCATGCCACGTACACAATATCTAAATACGTGGATACATCTCAAAAGTAATAACGATAAACAAAAACAGAAAGTAATCGTTGAAATCATCAATGCAATGCGTCTGATGCAGCCAAAGCTGCACGCAACAAAGCGACACGACGGGTGCAGAATAGCTTTTGTTCCTACAAACAACGATACACGAGGTCACGGAAGGATCCTGATTCCGCGGGACAGATTCTGTGAGCAGACAATTTCACAACAATAGGCCTCCAGGAAGACAAGACGTAATTTTTCACAGTCGTAGGGCCTTTGGTCCCGTCGTCCACTGCGTCCGCGTGATCCATCCTTTGAGCAGCACACTCTCCGGTTCATCCAGAAAGATATAACTTATAGCCGAATGCAATCCAATAGGCCGTCCAACCTTTCGAGAACTGGTTTGTCATTTACGGCATGACTGACAGTCAATAAGCGGACGGGAGCCGCTTCCTGCTGACGCCAGTGCCCGCCCGCCCGCTCCGCCCTGCCAGCCTTACCGAGGACGACCAAGGTGCAGGAGGAGAAGCTCTCTCCGGCGTCGTTGAAGGCCTCGCACGTGTAGGCGCCCGAGTCCTCGGGGAAGATCTCGGCGATCTTCAGGCGATACATATCGCCTACGCTGTCGTACTCGAAGTCCTTAGACGGCTTGATCTCCTTGTCGTTGTGAAGCCACACCACCTCAAACTTGGACGTTCCTGAGAATAGTGGGACTGGTCAGCTTTGCCACTAGCAGTCTTCGATCTGTGAGTTACCGATGGTGCAAACCATAGTCACTGACTTGATGACACCACTGGTATTTGCCTTTCCATACGCATATACGAGTGTCGTATTGAACTTTTCGTGCTAAGTATAGGTAAGACGGACTGGGCCATATAGTGAGTGGCAGAAAATCACGTGATTTACGCAGAGTGGGAACAAAGTGCAAACGACGGACACGGTGCCTTAGTACATAGTTTGACATCCGGTAGGATGACCAAAATCCTGACACCAATGAAACACGAGAACGTGGTTGACCGATCTACTGAGTGGTGTTCTGAAAGGTGGACGTCTTCACGCCGGCCGGTGACCCAGTCTCAGCCGGCAGACGCGCGGCGGCAGACGCCGGAGCCCACAGCTGGTCAGCGCCCAGCGGCAGACACCGGAGCCCACAGCTGGTCAGCGCCCAGCGGCAGACACCGGAGCCCACAGCTGGTCAGCGCCCAGCGGCAGACGCCGGAGCCCACAGCTGATCAGCACCCGGCGGCAGACGCCGGGGCCCACAGCTGGTCAGCACCCGGCGGTAGACTCCGGAGCCCACAGCTGGTCAGCACTCGGCGGTAGACGCCGGAGCCCACAGCTGGTCAGTGCGCGGCGGCAGACGCCGGAGCCCACAGCTGGTCAGCGCCCGGCGGCAGATGCCGGAGCCCACAGCTGGTCAGCACTCGGCGGTGGACGCCGGAGCCCACAGCTGGTCAGTGCGCGGCGGCAGACGCCGGGGCCCACAGCTGGTCAGCGCCCGGCGGCAGACGCCGGAGCCCACAGCTGATCAGCACCCGGCGGCAGACGCCGGAGCCCACAGCTGGTCAGCACTCGTCGGCAGACGCCGGGGCCCACAGCTGGTCAGCGCCCGGCGGTAGACGCCGGAGCCCCCGCCCGGGCGCGAGAGCGGCCGATACTGACCCGTCAATCGGCAGGACAGAGTGACGGCCTCTCCGTCCTTCACCACCATCGACCGCAGGTGCTCCAGCACGCGGGGCGGCTCCTCCTCGCCGCCGGCGCTCTTCAGCGGCACGCTCTCCTTGGCTGCGGACAAGATCGGTACTTGTGGCACGCTCTTACGTAAAATGGCAAGGCATAGCATGAACGGAGTTGACTATCTATTTAAAGATAGCGAGGCAGCCGACGCAAATTACTGAGTACCGTGCTGCTTTCAGGCGCTGCCTGTGTCCAACATTTGGACGCGCGATTCCTTGGAAAAGCACGTCAAGCACTCCTACATAGCCGAATACTGTGTTGAGAAAGAAGGCACAAGCATGCCAAATGCTTATCGATAGGACCACGTAGAAACCAAACTTCTATCCCACTTTGCGTAATAGCGACACGGATGTGCTTTCTCACCTTTCACGGGCGCCGGAGCAGCTGAAAATAAAATAAAAATAGTCATCACGATCACAATGCTTGACAGCATTCAAGACACAGTAGATTCCCGGTATCACAGAAGCAAATGAGTATCTACACATAAATGTTACACACTCGGGTCTAGCTGTTTTGAATCTTAAACAACCATAAAGTAGCAAATCTCAGAGCCATTCCAGAACATGCCGCAAGCGGTCATTTGTCACAAAAGTCCAGTGTAGCGTTCATAACCGTTTCAGAGTGTCGCTACTTCGGACTAAAGCCCTCAAGTGGGGCACTGGGAAGGAGGCCAACAAACAGGTTAAGGTGATATGAAGGCACATTCATTACAGTTGTACAGGAATCTGCGTGCGTAGTTGGTGAAAGTACCTGACGCCCTTCTAAAGGATGTCGTCTATCCACAAAAACCGAAAAGCAGTAACAAAGTGGCCAGCCCGGCAGGCTAAATGTGCCATTTCCCTAAGAGCTAAGAGTGCACGCACAATTAGCCCCTCATCGCTTAAGTTCATTGCAACAAACGGCGCCAGTGGCTGAGCTGGGTGGGCCACGGGCGTGCCGCGCTGCCCAGTGCCACCCGCGGATCGGCGTCCGACGCATTACTCACGGGTGACGGTCACTTGACAGGTGGTGGTGACCTCGCCCATCGAGTTGTAGGCGCGGCACTCGTAGGCGCCCTCGTCCTCGGGGAACACCTCGGCGATGGCGAGCGACGCCACGCCCTGCCGGTACTTGAGGTCGACAGCGGCCGATGAGCTAAGCAGCTCGCCGTTCTTGCTCCAGGCGATCTTGGGGTCGGGGTCGCCGTGCACCTGGCAGTGCAGAGCCAGCGACGCGCCGTCGCGCACCGCCAGCGTCGCCGGCATCTTGTCGTCGAAGACGGGCGCGTGCATGAGCGAGTCGTCGGGCGGAATCTCCAGCTCCTTGGTGGCCGAGCGGGAGCGGGTGGAGCTGCCCGACAGCGTCTTGCCGTATGGCTTCAGCACACGTTTCTCGGTTGGCTCGGCCTTCGGCGCCGGTGCCGAGTCCAGACTGGACTTGGTGAACTCCGACTCGAAGCCAGATCGCCGACCGGAGTCGAACCCTGAGCGCAGGCCCGTTTCGTAGCCGGACCGCAGTCCGGAGTCGTAGCCGGACCGCAGTCCGGAGTCGAAGCCGGTCCTCGTCAGGCCGGTGTCGAAGCCGGACCTCGTCAGGCCGGTGTCGAAGCCAGACTTGAAGCGGCTGCCGCTAGATGCCATGTTGGACGACTGCGGAAGATCACAGGGCACATCACAGAACTAAAACGATGAAACAGCATTCGAAGCCAGATCAGGGTCATGACTGCCTAAGTTTCGAAATATCGCGTAGCTTGCGGGCCATGTAATGAGGCGGAAAACAATGAAACAAATAATCACCAAGAAATCACGAATTAAAGGCATGCATAACATTGGCTTGTTGATGCGCTTACGAAGGCGAACTTTAAAACGGCTGGTACGAGCAACCCCAAACTTCTGATCATTTGCATTGCGCTGTACAGTACATACCCAAAAGGCCCAAAAGCCATGGTAGCATGTCGCGCGTATGCCGAAGACTACACCCGACATTTGTAAGCCGCTGCTCGGATCAGGGAACCACATTCGATGACGTCATGATTCCGTTTTATCCCATTTCTACATCCAAGACCAGAGTGGAGGAACGTGAAAAGACCCCAGCTAGGTCAAAGGAGGTGAGACTGTCCCAGAACAAGTGAATGCGCGCGGCATAGCCGGACTGAGTTCAAAGCTCTTACGCTGAGGTAACGATTTGCAATATCTCGGATCGGATCGGATCTCTTAATGAATGCACCTTCGAATATTGAGTGCCGACAAAGTAATAACTTATTACCACTGAAACGTCGCATCAGCTATACCTCTTGGTATGTTAAAAGTCTTCAGCTCAGCATACAAAATTTGGGCTCATAATGCGGAAAGATCAGGAGCTGGAGGCCTTTCTTACTGATGTTAAGTATAAGCCACGTTTACAGGGGGCACGCACCCATGTTGACCTGGCTTAGCCCTTAGTATTCCTCGACTATCAGTTCGCAAAAGGCTGACTCCAGAACGGAACCAACACGGGGCCAGCCTCAAGTCGAACACAAGTCTGCATGAAGTCCTTACTGTCATGCTGCTCGACTGATACGAAGAACTCTGGTGTGACGACGAATGCGAGGACTTGAACTCCGACTTAAACTCGGACTTGTATCCGGTGGCGTCGGACTTGTACGCCGAAGAGAACTTGTGCGACGAGATGCCGTTGGTGGTCGGGTGGGAGGACGCCGCGCTCGACAGGTAGCGTCGATCTGGCGGGGCACGGGGTCAAGTCAGGTCAGGTCAGGTCCGCTCAGATAAGGTCAGATCAGGTCAGGTCATGTCGGACCAGGCCAAATCAGACCTCAAGTACATAGTTGTGAGCGAGAGCGGCACGCTTGTCATGTGGCCCTGGCCTGGTCTGTTATGATAACGGAGTCAGGTTAGGCCAGGTCAGGTCGGGTCAGGTCAGGTCAGACCGGTGGCGGTCTCGTGCGATGGCGGCAGGCTCTTCAGGTGCCCCTGGTCTGGTCTGATCGGAGAGCAGGCTGAGGTAAGGTCAGACCGGTGGCGGCCGCGTGTGATGGCGGCCGACTCTGCAGGCGCCCCTGGCCTGGTCTGGTCGGGGAGCGGGATCAGGTCCAGTGATCGCAGGAGCCCATGTCTGGGCTGACCCAAGACTGCAACGCAGGTAAGTACAGCCAACAGCGTAGATGCGAGAATGCTCGTGATGCAAGCACATGGTATTCGAAAGCATGCCAGCAATGCAATAGCTTAATCACAACAGTTGCACGAGCTCGCTTCATGTGTAAGTTTGTTTACACCTAAACCATGAATCTGCAACCCGCAAGGCAACTAGAAAGTGTGCCTAGGAGATGGCACCCGAAGAGATGCAGCACTCACCCTGTTGTATGGTCCGAAGTTGTAGCTGTTACGTGAAACGGTTAGTCACACAGGTACAGACCGCAAACATGAGAACGAAGAACTGCACGCGCAGAGGCTCACTGGGTCGCTAACCGAGCTACTTAAAAACTAGTAACAGCCAGATATAAAAACGCCCGTCGTGGCACAGGCTCAAGATCGGCCAAAAGTTGGCGTGGGTTTCCACAAAAATTTGATGAAGATGACCTCATCTCCTACATGTTTATACTATCCAATGACCATGCATTAGATGACCATGAAAGACGTGCCCATAATAAATCAAACAAAAACGACACTGGATCGTGCCAAGGGCTTTGAGGGCGCATTCAGTAACAGAAAGGTCACGCAGAGCTGGTGACATTCCAACGCATCTAATGAAAGTGGAATATGTTAACTGGAATCTTTGGAACGTTGGTGACACACACAGCATGCACCAACATTCATGTGACAAATAACGCCAAATTCCTGATTAGGCGACTGAAGGCCACGGCCGCTAGCGTCACATGGACAGATGCTCCCTCTTAAAACTGTTATGTTGCATGGATTGTTTGCTGCTCCCATGTTTTACCTTCTTTGCTAAAACTACTGAAGATCTGCTTGCATTGCTCTTCTGAGCCGCCTGAGGAGTTCGATCACAAACCTTTGGTTAGTGCGGCCAAGAAGGAGCGGCGCACAGATGCAAGCGTAGTAAGAGAAGCAAAATAACACCAGAGGCATGTAGAGGAGCACACAAAAGCAACTACACTGCCAAAAGATGGGGTCAGATGGTCAACTAGAGCGAGTGATCAGCGTGTCAACACGCCGGCGAGGCCTATTTGTTGATGTTTACGCTGGCAAGTACGCGTTTAAGCCTATGTATACATGTGGCGTCAGCATTGTGGCTGATTGCACGACATTTCACTGTTTAGTGAGCTACACCACAGTCACTGCAAAGGAGCTGAAAACACGTTGTGCGTTGCATCTTGCTCTCGACTTACACTTCGGCACTGAAACACCGAACGAACGTTGGGCCTATCAACGATTCATGGCATGCATAAACAGAGCAATAGCTGAAAACGAGAGATAAAAGGAGCAAACTGTAAAAACGCCCACATTCACGGATCATATCTTTTCAGGAACAAGAGAAGAGTGCAATAAACAGCACATATTTCAAGGGATGGATACTTCCCTCAGACCAAATCAGAGACGTTCATTACATACAGTAAGTGTGCGGTACAGATACGCCGCACTAAGGCCGCACCAAGTTTGCCAATCACGATGCTCGAGCGACGACGGCAGGCACGTACCTTCAACGATGATGACGCAGGAGGTCTCCGCGGTGCCGAGCGCGTTGGTGGCCACGCAGCGGTACTTCCCGGAATCCTCCGGCTGACAGTTGCCGATCTCGAGCGTGACCACGCCGTCGGCGTTGGTGATGTTGTACTCGCCGCGACTCAGCTCCTGGTCGCCTCTGTACCATTTGACCTGTCGGCACACGGGCACGGGTCAGCTGGGGATGGGCGCGGCACGAGCAGCGCGTACGGAGACGGACCTGGCCTGGCCTGCGCTGTGTTCACGGAGACGGAGCACTGGCCTGTGCTGGGCTTATGGAGACAGGGCACTGGCTTTTGCTGTGCTCACAGAGGCGAAGCACTGGCCTGTGCTGGGCTTAGGGAGACGAAGCACTGGCTTTTGCTGTGCTCACAGAGACGAAGCACTGGCCTGTGCTGGGCTTAGGGAGACGAAGCACTGGCTTTTGCTGTGCTCACAGAGACGAAGCACTGGCCTGTGCTGGGCTTAGGGAGACGGAGCACTGGCTTTTTGCTGTGCTCACAGAGACGGAGCACTGGCCTGTGCTGGGCTTAGGAAGACGGAGCACTGGCCTGTACTGTGCTCACGGAGACGGAGCACTGGCTTTTGCTGCGCTCACGGAGACGGATCACTGCACTAAGCGCCGGCCTGAAGTGCACGGTTGGTGGTGCGTGGTACCGACAGGGAATACTGACGGGAATAATCAGCCGGTCACGTTAATCCAGACGTGGGATTTCGCCATAAAACCGTGGCAACCGTGGTAGCCGTGGTAAACCGTGGTAAGCCGACACCTGATAGTTTCACGGAAGGCATGAGACGAGGAATCAGCATCACGGACGGACAACTGTTCGGAATATCGTTCTGGCCCGGTGTGTCGGTATGTACACACTAACACACCAGATGAGGACGACGTTCTGGCCTGGTGTGTCGGTATGTACACTCTAGCACACCAGACGAGGACGACGTTCTGGCCTGGTGTGTCGGTATGTACACACTAGCACACCAGACGAGGACGACGTTCTGGCCTGGTGTGTCGGTATGTACACACTAGCACACCAGACGAGGACGACGTTCTGGCCCGGTGTGTCGGTGTGTACACACTAGCACACCAGACGAGGACGACGTTCTGGCCTGGTGTGTCGGTATGTACACACTAGCACACCAGACGAGGACGACGTTCTGGCCCGGTGTGTCGGTGTGTAAACACTAGCACACCAGACGAGGACGACGTTCTGGCCCGGTGTGTCGGTATGTACACACTAGCACACCAGACGAGGACGACGTTCTGGCCCGGTGTGTCGGTGTGTACACACTAGCACACCAGACGAGGACGACGTTCTGGCCCGGTGTGTCGGTGTGTACACACTAGCACACCAGACGAGGACGACGTTCTGGCCCGGTGTGTCGGTGTGTACACACTAGCACACCAGACGAGGACGACGTTCTGGCCCGGTGTGTCGGTATGTACACACTAGCACACCAGACGAGGACGACGTTCTGGCCCGGTGTGTCGGTGTGTACACACTAGCACACCAGACGAGGACGATGATCAGAACAATTATCCCGTCCGTGAAGCTAAAACATTCTCCCAGCACGTCTCTGCGCGCAAAAGGGTCGCCGGAGATTGGATTCGCAGTGCATTGCCAAGAAAGGTTTCCCGATTCAACCCGATCACTTTGGACCACTTCAGCAGAATGCCAGCATTCCCTGGCACCGAGACGGCTCTGCGTCGCGCCCCTCCGCCGCCGGGCTGTCGTCATTCACTCACCGTGGGCGCCGGCTTGCCGGACAGGCAGCAGAGCAGCTTGCACGTCTGGCCCATCTGCATGACACGCGGACGCAGCTGGAAGCTGAAGAGCGGCGCGTGGTCGGCCTCCTTGTCCCAGGTGCGCTGGTAGCTGGGCACTGGCTGGCGGCGGCGCACCGGCTGCTGCGACTCCTGGCGGCGCGGCAGCTCGCGCGCCAGCGCCTGCACGTTCAGGAAGACAGGCTCCTCGCGGAAGCCGTAGTGACTCTCGGCGCGGATCATGTACTCGCCGCGGTCCGACAGCTTGACGCGGTTGATGACGAAGGTGTAGTCGTCGCCCTGGTAGCGGCGCATGTACTTGACCGACTGGCGCAGCTCCATGTTGTCGCGGTACCACGTGACCGTGGGCGGCGCCAGCGAGATGACGCGGCAGGTGAACTTGACCGACTGGCCCTCGTAGGCGAACGCCGACATGGGACGAATGACGAAGCGCGGGGCCGCCTGCAGCCGGTCCACATTGACCTCGTGGATCTTGTAGCGGTCCATCTGCAGTTGGCGCAAGCTGGAGTAGTTGGCCAGTCGGCCCATCGGCAGCGGGTAGCCGCCCCAGCCCTCGTAGCGGGCGCGGATGCGGTCGCGCATGGGCGTGTAGCGCGAGCTGTCGATGGGCGCGTCCAGGCCGGTCAGGTCGCCCTTCAGCCACGGGTGCTCCAGGCACTCGTGCGCAGTCAGACGCTTGCTGAAATGCAGGGGTTCAGAGGGGTCAGAAGCACAGCCAGTGGGGTGGTTCTCGCCATCCGCAGCGTAATGTCGGGTGGTACAGAATGAATGTCACGCGATGCTGATGGTATCGAATGCGGCAAAAGCAGCGAAGTCAACTAGCGGTTTAATTCATGCTACAAAACCTCCTACCGCATAGCTCAATAATCCCGTATCTAAAACGCAGCCCAGTTTCCGGCCATTTTTTCAAAGGTGGCCTGGCGCGCATGGAGAGACTAACTCACTCCTTGGCCTTCAGCAGAAGCTTGCGGATGAAGTCCTTGCCCTCATCGGAGACGTTGGCGAACGCCTCGCGGTCGAAGTCCCAGTCGCAGGCCCTGACGTTCTTCAGGGTCTCGACATCCGTCTCGCCGGCGAACGGCGAGAGGCCGGACAGGCTGTGCACGCGGGAACACCGTGAGGCGCGCGACCGCGCGTGACACGCAAGCAGCGGCATCAGCGCTAGCGGTCATGGTGACGGAGTGCTTGTGAGGAATTGAGAGATGGCCCCTGACGTTTGTGCCTGCTTATTCAGCTGACCATGGTATTACAGCTTACGCCATTGTTGGCTTAATGTGAAATGTAAGCTTTACACACGGAAAATATCCAGATGAACGGCTCCTTTCATTACGAGTAACCCGCACAATAAAAGGAGGCGAAGCTTAGATACTCATACAATACCAGCTAACCAAACAAACAAAATCCGTTTCCCAGCCTCCGTTTCCTCGGTGCGGCGCACACAGCGCGCCGGCTACCGGGCTAGCTGGACGGCTAGCAGGACGGCGCCAGCGTCCTGCCGTACTCACAGGACGTATCCAAGCACGCCGACGGCCCACATGTCCGTGTAGAAGCCGACCGGTTCGCGCTCCACAATCTCGGGCGCGGCGAACTCGGCCGTGCCCGTCGAGATCTTGACCAGCTCGTTGGGGTTGAGTTTGGTGGCCAGGCCGAAGTCGATCAGCTTGACGTTGGTCGACTTGGACGTCTGGCACATAATGTTCTCCGGCTTGACGTCTGCGGGGAGGGTGTCTCGCTCAGTCGGGGCTGTGAGGGGGCGGGGTCGCACTCGGGCGCCACCGGAGAAAAGCGCTGGTGGAATGAGTGTCAATATATCACAGCCAATGAAGTTTGATTAATTTGTGACGTGCTTGATGCCCAGCATGTTCGACTGCAGAGGTTATCGAATGCACGTGTTAATACCGAATGGTACAACCCCCAAGCCAACTCGACTAAATAGCATCGACACCTGTATCTCGCCATACTGACCCAGATGTAGAATATTCTTCTCGTGCATGTGCTTGACGGCCTCGCAGACCTGTCGCATGTAGTTGATGACTTCGGCCTCTGACATGGTGTAGCCGGGCGCGGTGATACGCTCGAACAGCTCGCCACCCGACAGGAACTCATAGATGAGCACCATCTCATCGTCGTCCTCAAAGGCATCGTGCAGGTTGATCAGCTTCGGGTGGTGCAGCTGGTTCATGATATCGATCTCCTTCTTGATCAGCTCCTTCTCGATCGGGTGGCTGATGGGGATGAACTTGGCGGCGAAGATGTGGCCCGTGGCGTGCTCGCGGCAGCGGTGCACGACGCCGAACGCGCCCGTGCCGATCTCCTCCAGCACGTCGTAGTGGTCGTACACGCTGTCGTGCTTGATGTCCACCGGCTGCGGCACGTGCTTGGCGTGGATGTCGAACACGAACTGGTCATAGTTGTCCACCGGCTTGTCGGCGCGGCCGCGGATCCTCTTGCCGTTCTCGTCCACTGTGGACGGGCGAGGCGGGTTAGCATCCGTTCTCATCCATTGTGGACGGGCGGGGGCGGGTTAGCGTCGGGCCATCCACTGTGGACGGGCGGAAGCGGGTTAGCATCCGTTCTCATCCACTGTGGACGGGCGGGGGCGAGCTAGCGTCGGCCCATCCACTGTGGACGGGTGGGGGCGGGTCATTGTCGGCCTCCGAGGAGGGGCGCGGGTCACTCGGCGTGTGGAACTTGCCCGGATCACCGCTGGCGTTGTAGTTGCAGCCATGCTGACCTCAGAGTATCAGGCTCATCGAAGGAAGCGTTTACAGAGGAAAGCTGTAAAGCGCACCTTAAGTGTGACTCAAATGAAGGAGCAGCTGACACATTTTGGAAGGCAAACACAGAGAAGCATGTTGCTTTGATCGGCTGTAATCTTGACTGTAAGCCGCCATACAACGCAGGCAACAAATAAGGATCCATTACAAAAGGCCCAAAACCATCCCCGATGATGACTATGCAGCGTGTCCTGGACTATGACAGGCCCGAGCTGGTTTACCCTCGTATTTGCGCTTCTGCTCCTTCTTCTTGGTGACGTCGCGCGTGGTGATGGGCGTCGACTCGTCGCTGGGTGCCGAGCGACCGTAGATGTTCTCGGCGATCACGCGGAACGAGTACGTCTGGCCGGGGGTCAGGCCCTGCGCCTCGTGCACGGTAAACCTGCAACGCGGTCAGCACGGCGCCGTCAGCACGGCGCAGGAGACAGGTCACAGGCTAGCAGATTAAATGAGTTAGCATGGGGCGGGTTACGGACCACTGCACAAACATTTGACGTGCAAGCCTTTGAAAATGACACATAGACTGTGTGTTTGACAAAGTGTTCTATTACGTTTCACACTTTCAGCGAACGTGACCCTTGCTTACGTACAAATCCTATGTTCAGCAAATCTGCAATAACGAGTTTCGGCCCACGCAGATTATAAACCATTGGTATTTCAATCACCTAAGGCTCATTGCAGATTCATGCACAGACACTGAGATTCCCAGCGGTGATGTGCATCGGCAGGCACGTCAGAGGGCTGGCGTCAGAGGGCTGGCGTCAGAGGGCTGGCGGCAGGCGCCTGACATCAGGGGACTGGCGTCAGGAGGGCTGACGTCAGGGGACTGACGGCAGGGGCTGGCGTCAGTAGGCTGACGTCAGGGTGGCGTCGGGGGGGATGGCGCTAGGGGGCTGGCTTCAGGGGGCTGGCGTCAGGGGGCTGACGTCAGCGGCTGGCGCCAGGGGCTGGCGTCAGGGGGCTCGTGGCGTCAGGGAGGGGGGGGGGGGGGGGGGCTAGCGTCAGGGGACTGACGTCAGGGGCCTGGTGGCGTCAGGGGAGCTAGCGTCAGGGGGCTGGCGTCGGAGGGCTGTCGTTACGGGCGACCGCACCGCCTGTCCTGTGGCCGCCGGTGGCCCACTCGCAGCCAGGTCGCCGGCCGTTACAACTCAGACGCTGACACCAAGCCCGCTGTCCTCACCTGGTGTTGGCGCACCGGATCCATGTGGACATGGGGTGCTCGCGCTTCTCGATGACGTAGTTGGTGACGTTGCTGCCGCCGTCCCATGTGGGAGGCTTCCAGGTGACGATGCACGAGTTGTGCGTGGCTTTCTCGGCGATCACGTACCGCGGCGAGTCAGGATGGTCTGCCGGCGGGCGGCGCGTGACATTAAGAGGACGCTATAGCGTCGAACACGGAAATTTGTAAGCGAATTAGAGACGTAGCGTCGTATTTTAATAGCCTGCGGTCTGTACGAGCTAACATGTGGTCATTGAGGCATGGAGCTTTTCAAGATAGCCCAATCGGTGTATGGTGTTCACTTTGCACAAACATGACGCAAGGTTTGTCACACAAATGGCGCGAGCACTTTACGCAAACAAAAGCCACAATATCATGTCGTTTATAGATATATTTTAATACGATATTCTGCGTAAAATTTCTTTAACGATGCATCATGACAACGTGCACGGCAATGCCCTTCCGGTGCACGGCCGGCGCCGTGTGATACGTACTTGCGATCTGGACCTTGATGATGCAGGAGTCGGCGCCGAGCTCGTTCTCGGCCACCAACCGATACGGTCCGTTGTCCATCTGGTCCACGTCGCGGATCGTGATAATGGCGTGTCGGTCCTGCAACAGCGGTCGGAGTCGCTCAGTCATCACGAGCGCGTAGGCTCACACCAGCTTCTATGCATAGTTTGAGCACAGATATAAACAGTCACCGCGTAGAAGCTGAACAAAAGGCCAGCTGCAACCTAATGATATTTAGCCATTGGGAACAACATGAATCGTTTCACATCTAACGTGAAGGAAAGGGCAGCTATACACAACATGTTCAATAGCGACTTTACAATGTCATCAAAGCAACGACACAGGTGATTACCAATGCACGGCTTTTTACGAAAGCCAGATAGCTGAAAACAGCATGAGCTGGAATAACTACCAATGATCATGATGTTCGTCGTACTGTTGCCCATTAGCCTCCTCGGATATACCACCACGGGGTTTCCAAGCGCGAGCGCGTCTCGTCACACAGCCTACCGTGGTCTCCACGTCGAAGTGAGCGCCCTTCTCGATGACCTCGCCATCCTTGGTCCACGTGCAGCGTGGCTTGGGGTTGCCCGTGAACGGCACCTTGATGACGATGTTCTCGCCCTTCTCGAAGAAGGCCGTATCGCGGAACCGAGGCGGTACGTTGATCTTGGGCGCGGCTGGGGAACGCACGGTCACACGAGTGTGAAAATGACGCGGGTGTGAAAATGACATCTCAGACTTTTTACACCGCTGATCAATAAATGCTCCGATGCACACTTGGTGCTGTATATCATCTCTGTTACTAAAGAAACTTGACACATTATTACATACATATGCATCCATGTTGCATGTGAATTAAGCAGCTCACTTCCAACATTGCCGCAAGTTTACATTGCACGCTAAAACGCTGTAACCTGGCCACCGTTTATGCACGCCAATGGAATCCGCACACACCACTCGAACGACTGACTAGACGCCTCGCCTTAACCTTGCGTCATAGCCGTCGGGTTACGCCTGAAGTGCCAGCCGACCTCTACGGAAGGCGACTCACTCTTGATGGTGAGGGAGGCGCGGGTGGACTTGTGGCCGCCGGGGTTGTGGGCGCGGCAGCTGTAGTCGTCGGCGTCCTCGCCGTACACGTCTCGTATGTCCAGGAAGTACGTGTCGCCGTCCTTGTCCATGTAGTACTTGCCGCCGCTGAAGATCTCGCGGTTGCCCTTGTACCAGGTGATCTTGGGCTTGGGACTGCCCGTGATCTTGCACTCGAGGGTGGCTGACTTGTTCTGGAGCGCCATCACGTTCTTCAGCGGTTGAATAATCTCCGGAGGAGTGGCCGCTGCGGGTTGGACGGATAAGCGTTAGATAGTTTATCTGTAAGCGGCGTCTATGGTAAGGCAGCATTGCGAAATACCTTTGCACTGATGCTACCAGAAGCTTTTCCACACGCCGCTCAGATAAATACAAAGATTACGCGCGAAGATAACGATGTTCCATAAGATTCCGAAAGAGGCCCACTGAGCCTTTGGTTTTTGCGAATGCAGGCAACAACGATTGACGCCGGCTATAAACTGCGCTCCAAGAAGACGCAGCCGCCGTCCGCCACCAGATGGCGACTGTTCGCAGCGCTGAGCAGACCGGGCGGAGTGACGCGTTACCGTGCGGGTCGCGGATCTTGACCGACGAGCTGGCCGTCGAGGGCTCGCTCGGGCCGGCCTCGTTGACGGCGAACACGCGGAACTCGTACTGCCGGTCCTCCACCAGGTTGGGGATGTTGATCTGGGGCGTCGTGCAGAGAACCTGCGACGGAAGGCGCCTTGGTGTCACTGGCAGCCCCGCCGGAGCCACCAGCTCCACGGAGACCGCTTCACAATCGCGGGATCGCGTGGCGATACAGTGTGACTGTAGGCCGGCCACACACGGGTGTAGGGTACTGATGAGTCAAGAACGCAGATGTGGCGGACAAATGAGCGGCGCCATCAGCTTCTCCGCCACTATCGCGTCTAACCCCGCCCGCCGGGTTCCCTCGCCACACCCCCTTCGGCTCTCACCTGGTTAACCTTGAGCCAGTTGGGTGTGCCGGTCTCGCGTTTCTCGATCCAGTAGCCCTGGATCCTGGCGCCGCCGTCCTTCTCGGGCCGCTCCCAACTGAGGTTGACGAAGTCACCGCCCACCTCCTTGACGGTCGGCACGCCCGGCGCCGAGGGCAGGTCATAGGGCGAGCGTGCCTTCACCGGGTTCAGACCCTCCAGCGGCGGGCCCATGCCGTTCTGGTTGGCGGCCATCACGCGGAACAGGTACTCCTGGTTCTCGGTTAGGCCCTGGACGATGAACGACGTATCCTTGCAGGTGGTGGACGCCACCACCCAGTGGTCGTGCGCAATGTCACGCCGCTCCACCACGTAGTGCGTGACGCGTGCGCCGCCATCGAAGGCCGGTGGATGCCACGAAAGCGTGCACGTGTGCTTGGTGATTTCGCTCGGCTTCAGCGGGCCCAGCGGCGGGCCCGGCAGGCCCGTGATGTACACGTTGAAGGTCGCCGACACCTCCCCGCTGTCATTCTTCACCTTCAGCTGATACTGGCCAGCGTCCGCCTTCTGCACCTCCTTGATGAAGATGATGAGGTAGTCGTCGAAGACGGTGTACCTGACGTGGTGGTTGTCCTCCACCTCCTTGCCGGCGTGGAAGAGCGACACGTCCATCGGCTGATCGCCGGAGAAGTAGATCTTGATCTTGGCGTTGTCGCCCTCGGGCAGGTACATGTCGTTCGGCACCTTGTCAATCCTCGGGGGAGCTGAAATCATCATGTCCTCGTCATGACCGCGGGTCGCCGTGAATGGCGTGTCAACGGCGCATGGGTTCGTACAACCAGCCTGGCGCATAACGCTTTTGAGTTCAACCTTCAAACTCTGTCGCCATGTCTGACCCACTTCTCGACAAGCGCTTCTCCGCATCCCCTGGTTGGGACGACTGGCCCGCTGCGGCCAGCCCCCCCCCCCCCCCGCTCCTGAGCCGCCTCGGCACTTACTTCCGACGCGCAGGCGGCAGGTGGTGGTGGCCTGGCCGATGACGTTGCCTGCCTGGCAGGCGTACTCGCCGTCGTCGGAGGCCCACACCTCGCTGAACACCAGCCGGAACACGCCGTCCGCCTCCTCCGCCTGCACGCGCTCCAGGTCCGTGTTCACCACGCGGCCGTTGCGCAGCCAGCGCGCGCCAGGCATCGGCGTGCCTGAGAGAGACGTAACACATGGCGGTGGTCACCTCGCCGAGCGGCCACGGGCGATGGCAAGAGTGCACGAACTTTGTTCTAGCTGCTGATGCTCAACAGGGATTTGTTTAGGACTAAGAGAGTTGATTATAACGAACACTCAAAACCCTCTGACATCTCACTGCACACCGAATTTCAAATCGAAGAGAGAAACTTTCAAACACGCTGTGGTTCATGGGGAAAGAAGTTCCATTAGCCATATAGTTCACATTCTATGGTTTAAATTTGTTCACATCACAGAAGGCCAATGTGGTTGATCACGTTCATATCACAACAGACCATGTTATACAGTTGCCGACAACCCGCCAGTTTAGCAAATCTGCAGACACTATGGCCCGCCTACCACAGCCTGCCAGCTGCGAACATTACGCGTCGCGCGCCCGCTCTGCCAGCCAGCCAGCCAGCCAGTGCCAGTCAGCCAGCCAGCCAGCCAGCCAGCCACTGGCAGCCAGCCCGTGCCGTACGCACACTCACCGATGGCCTGGCACTCCAGCGTGAGTGGCCGCATCAGACCGGCGCCCGTGTTCATCAACGACTTGACGAACTCGGGGGCCCGGCCGCCGACCACTTCCTGCACGCGCACCGGCGCGATGCACTGTGCCGGCTCGCCACGGCCGGCCGAGTTCACGGCGCTCACGCGGAACTCGTAGTCGCCGCCCTCCTTCAGGTTGATGGCCGAGAACTCGCAGTCGGGCACGTTGTACTCGCTGCAGCGAATCCAGTAGGGGTGGCCGACCTCGCGTTTCTCCACCACGTAGCCGGTAACGCGGCTGCCGCCGTCGAACGCCGGCGGCTCCCACTTGAGGTCGACGTAGCTGCGCGTGACCTTGGTCACCTGTGGCGTGCCCGGCGCCGCCGGCACGCCACGCTTGGCGCGCAGGTGCACGCGCGGGCTGGGTGCCGACGGTCGACTGAAGCCGGCCGCGTTCTTGGCCTTGACGCGGAACTCGTACTCGCGGCCCTCGGGCAGACCGTTGACCTGGTGGACGGTGTCGCGCGCCAGGTAGTCGTTGCAGTCGCGCCACTGCTCCTCGGTGACGTCGCGCATCTCCAGCTTGTAGCCCTGGATCTTGGAGCCGCCATCGGAGGCCGGCCGCTCCCACATGAGCTTGGCCGAGCTGGGCGTGACGTCGAGCACCTTGGGCTTGCCCGGCGCGTCCGGCACGTTGAAGGGGAACTTGGCCGTGATCGGCTCCGAAGAATCGAGCGGCTCCGAGAGGCCGTACTGGTTCTCAGCGCGCACGCGGAACAGGTACTTCTTGTTCGGCTCCAGGCCCATCACGACGTAGTTGCAGCCGCGCACAAAGCTGCACGCCTTGTTCCACACCTGGAAGAAGAGGGGAGAGATCGGCCTCGGTGTGCCGTTCCGCACTAAAGGTGTTTCAGTGTTTTCGGCGGTGCGATATATATATATATATATATATATATATATATATATATATGCATATATCTATATATGCATATATATACATATATATTATCTATATATATGTATATATATATATATATATATATATATATATATATATAGCGTCTGTTGTCACAAAAAAAACAAGAAAGGCAGGAGTCAGCTTTCACCCATACCGGAACGATACAGACGCGCCACAAATGACGTGACCAAGATTTGGCCTGGCAGGGGACTGAATCGGGTCACTGGAGATCGCTCTGGCCAACGGGTCCTTTTTTCTTCGCTTAAGGGCTCTTTTTGCGACTGGAGAGACATTGCTAGGCGACGCTAATACCCCAGGGCCTGTTTTTTCGTTTTAGAAGTCTAAGCCGTTTAAGGGCATCTTAACAGGTCAAAAAGTGTTGTGCACCCCCCCTTCCAGGGATGGGACGGGAGAGAGGTCATGACCCCAAAGGCCCCTTGATGACGCTAATGCTAACCGCTGCTCAACGGCTGTACGAAGCTCTGCTGCGTTTTTCTGTCGCTCATCCTCAGTTGTCGACAAAAGCTCGCATCCTGCCTCAATGGCTTCACCAACGACAGGTTCTCCCGACACCTGCGTTCACCCGTAGTCGTTTACAGCGAGAACGGTATCCTGTCGTTCGCAGCTTACGTCTGTGTTGATGTCCATCTTCTCGACCGAGTAGTTTGTGATCGGCGAACCGCCATCGTCCAGCGGCGCTCTCCAGGACAGAGAGCAGGTCTCTGGTGTGATATCCGATATGTCGAGCGGTCCCTACAGCGAGAAACAGGTCAGCAGACACGAATACACCGAGGAACAGTGCAACAGTCTTCCATAACAGAGGGATAAGAACGGAGCCAGCACCACCGATCAGTTAGCGTCAGTATGTGTACATACGTCCCTGGTTCGTATACCCTCGCATCGCATTTCACAACACACTGTAACCGTGACAACCGCGGACCCCCGTGCGTGAAAGCACCTCCCATGAGGAAGCAAGCATACGACCTCATCAGCAGCCACCACTCTGCTACCTCGGATCGTACTCCCACGCCCGAACCCCGCCACCCATCGCCAAGCCGCCCTCACCTGGGGGGCGGTCGGCTTGTCGACCACCTGGACGCGGCACGTGGCCGTGTCGTAGCCGACCGGGTTCGTCAGCTTGATGGTGTAGCTGCCCTGGTCGGAGCGCTTGGCCCGCTTGTTGCTCAGGATGCTCTCGGTGTCACTAGCGAATCAAGCAGACATTCCGCCGTGGCTACATCGCGCATTCACAGTAGCAACGGTGCTGACACGACGAGAAATGTGGCAGATCACCGACTTTAAAACGAATTACGTTATGCATAACATCTTTTAATTGGCGTTATACGACAAGTTACCTTGCAAAACTTGGCAAAAACCTCTCGTCACCCCAGCCCCGTGCCCTATGTCTAACCTGACCCTCTCCTCACCCCAGCCCCGTACCTGGTGTCTTACCCGACCGTCTCCTCGCCCCCGCCCCATACCTGGTGTCGCACCCGACCATCTCCTCGCCCCCGCCCCGTACCTGGTGTCGAATCTAATCCGCTCGTCGGGGAAGATCTCATCGCCTCCGACCGTCCAGGTGGGCTTCGGCCGCGGCGACGCGGTGAACGGCACTGAGATGGTGAACGGCTCGCCGGCGCGCACCGTCATGTCGCGGATCGCCAGATCCGAAGTGATCTTCGGAGCGCCTGCGGTGACGATGGAAGCGGTCATTGACCCCATCCAGGCGCGAGACGCGCAGCACCTTCTCGCTCTGACAGAACGCCGGTCCCCTCGCTCTGCCGGCGGTGCTGGCATAGCTCTAACAGCCGGCAACGTTGCGGGCGTGCACGGACAGGGCTCAATAACGAGCCTCAGCGGCATTTGAGCCGACATGATTTGCTAGAGAATCGCCTCTAATGGATGACTTTTTAAGTGCTACCGGGCAGTTGGAGGAGCGGTGATGATAGCGCGTGCGACTCACTGGGAGGTGACTGGGCCTTGATGGGGTCGGACGGGCCGCTCCAGGGACCCTGGCCGGCCGCGTTCTTAGCAGACACGCGGAACTCGTAGTCGGTGCCCTCTGTCAGGTTCATGACCCTGCCACGAACGGATACGGTTCAAACGACATCTTTGATTAGCTTCAGAGGGCCGTGTGTTGCCTCAGACCAACACCCTGTTAGACCTGACTGGAGTTATCTTGGCTGCCTTTCATTCTAATGCAAACCCCAAGCAGATCTCCTTGTGTCAGCGTTTCAGGCCTCATGAAGTCTTTCAAGGCTGTATTCCCCACGGCTCCAATTCCTATCTCACACAACCAACAAAGAATGTCACGCGACGTGCGTCCAATGCCTATGGTAGAGAGCGAACCAACACCACCAGGATCATACAGTTTGCGAGACGGTCTGAGTCAGATAGCACGAGTGCGGCGCACAATGACCCCAGAATCCGCCGGTGCCCCCATCAGCTGTCACCGCAGCCAGCCGCCGCCACCGCCGCCGCCGCTCACTTGAACTCGACGCCCGGGATGGTGGCGTGACAGGCCTTCACCCATCCCTCGCCGGGCACGCGGCGCTCCAGCAGGTAGCCGGTGATGGGCGAGCCTCCGTTGTGCTTGGGCAGCTGCCAGCGCAGTGTCACCGAGTCCTCGGACGTGGTCACCATCTGAGGCGCTCCTGGCGCGCCCGGCACGTCTGCGGCACACGCGGCGCACGCTCGTCTCATATGCGCACCGAACGACCGTGCTCGTCCCAGAGAGGACGCTAAGGAGATTGTGGGGAACGCGATGACTGTACAAGCGCTGTCGTTTATGATATGAAGCGGTACTGTGGTTGATAATGCTACCTTGTAATCACCGGGCGAAACATGTACTTACACGAGGACGGAGATAAACGATATTTAAATGGAGTGTTTCCTAAACAGTTACCCGCCTGTTACGCATTAGTTAACACCGACGGCCTCTCCTAGCTCAACTACCGTCCAAAGCCGGGAGCGGTGTTGGCGCGGTGGCTGACCAAACGTCCAAAGCCGGGGGCGGTGTCGGCGCGGTGACTGACCGAGCGCCAAAAGACAGCTGCGGTTCTGGCGCGGTCACTAACCGAACGCATGGCGGGCCCGAATAGGCTCGCTTGTCTCGCAGGGCTCCGAGATGCCGTGCTGGTTCTCAGCGCGTACCCGGAAGTCGTACTCGCGGCCCACCGTCAGGTTACGCACGCGCACACCCGTGCCGGCGACGAAGCTGGACACCTGAGGCCGGAACCGAACGGTGATTGAAACAGATGGAGTACACACGTCGATCTCAGAAGAAGTTGGTTGAGGTAAAACGCGACGAGGTATGTACTTTAGCTACTGGAAATACCCCAGTGCTTGAGTGCGTGATGCTGTAGGATCGCTCACAAGTTAGGTAACAAGTAGCAAAACTTCACTTTACGCAATCGAGATAGACAAGACGAACTCTGCACTGGGGGATCACAGATGAATTCCCATGGACCTGCCGCCATCTAATCAGCTTCGCCGTTTTTGAATGGCCAGTTGCGTCGCGTCCTCACCTTGATCCATTCAGGGGCGCCGTGGTCGCGCCTCTCCACCACGTAGTTGGTGACGTCGGAGCCACCGTCGTCCTTGGGCGGCTTCCAGAAGAGCGTGAGGCTGTCGCCGCCGAACTCGTCGGCCCTCAGGTCCCGCGGCGGGCCCGGCCGGTCCAGCACCTGGTCACGTGATATGGTGCGGCGTCACGCCGGCGTCACGACGTGCCAAGGAGGGAAGCGATGTATAGTTATGACCCAAGCTGAAGTGGCGATGATTGGAAGTCCTCGGATGTATGCGAAACATGCAGCAGGTGTGTATCTTGCTGAAGCATGTAAGCTACACCGGAGGTCACACATCTTGGGGTGGGTGCGTCACATCAAGACACTAAATCTTAATGGATATACCAATTACAAAACTTCCGAAGATGGTTGTATTTGACCTATTCTGTGTTATCATCAGTGGCGCACAGCTGAGCAAATTGCTTGTTGACGGAGCCGTGCTGCCCAACGCCGACTTTTGCAGAACAGTTTTGGCCGACCAGCGCGACCTTACTTGATCGCACGCCCACACACATCACACACCGCACATTGTGCACACACCTACAATGACGCGCGGCCCCCACTCGGCTCGACAGACCTCCCAGTCCGCCACCGTGTGCCAGCCATACCCGCCGGGTCTGGTCTTACCTCGTGCACCAGCCACGCCCACCAGACCCAGTGAACGGTGTGGCCGCACCATGGTGCACTAGCCCCGCCCGCCGGAGCCAGAGGGGGAGGAGAGACCTGGGTCTCACCATCGCACACCAGCCCCGCCCGCCGGAGCCAGAGGGGGAGAGGAGATCTGGGTCTCACCATCGCACACTAGCCCCGCCCGCCGGAGCCAGAGGGGGAGGAGAGATCTGGGTCTCACCATCGCACACTAGCCCCGCCCGCCGGAGCCAGAGGGGGAGGAGAGATCTAGGTCTCACCATCGCACACCAGCCCCGCCCGCCGGGGCCAGAGGGGGAGAAGAGATCTGGGTCTCACCATCGCACACCAGCCCCGCCCGCCGGAGCCAGAGGGGGAGGAGAGATCTGGGTCTCACCATCGCACACTAGCCCCGCCCGCCGGAGCCAGAGGGGGAGGAGAGATCTGGGTCTCACCATCGCACACTAGCCCCGCCCGCCGGAGCCAGAGGGGGAGGAGAGATCTAGGTCTCACCATCGCACACCAGCCCCGCCCGCCGGGGCCAGAGGGGGAGAAGAGATCTGAGTCTCACCATCGCACACCAGCCCCGCCCGCCGGAGCTAGCGGCCGTCTCACCTTGACATTGCAGATGGCTGTGTCCATGCCCGACTTGTTCTTCAGGTGCAGCCGGTACGGGCCGGTGTCGCCGCGCTGCGCGTTCGTCATGACGAAGCTGGCCGAGTCGTCGGCCAGCTGGGTGTGCACGCGCGGGTCGCTGTCGTCGACGGGCACGTCGTCACGCGTCCAGGCGGCCGTCGGCTTGGGGAAGCCGCGGTACGGCACGTGGATGCTGAAGTCCTGCCCGGCCTTGACGGTGATGTCGCGCAGGCCACTCACGTCGATGTGCGGCTTGTTCGGTTGCTCCTCCACCTGCAGCAGCAAGAGTAAGTGGTGTGCAGCGCTCCAGTGCCGTTTCAGCGGAAGCAATCGGCTGATGAGGCGCACGTGATCGAACAGCGGGAAGAATGCGAGTCGTCTTCCGGTTTCATTGGCGGCATTGACTCTTTGATTCAGATGAGTAAAATTGAACAGCCACTAAGAAGAGCTAAAAAGTACCTAACACCACCAGTCGTCATTATGCATCAAATGGACACCTCGTTTAATATTCATCATTCAAAACTCCCTCACCACCAACCTGAAATGCGATTCATAACGCCTCGTGACGTCATGCCGCATTCAGTCCTCAATAAGACAGCACATGCACCTCGTGCACCACGCCCTGTCACATGCATCGCAAAACCACGCACACCTCCACAGCTGCCCCTTCACCGCCTCGTCACCCACACAGCTCCGGCTACTCCCCTCCCCTAGCCCCACATCCCGCACCTTGATGAACGGCGACGCCTTGCTGGGCTCCGACTCGCCGACGTCGTTGACGGCGATGACGCGGAAGGCGTACTCGTCGCCCTCGGTCAGGCCGGGGACAGTGAAGTTGCTGAGTGGGTGCGGCTCCCTGTTGCACGGCTCCCAAGCGTCGCTGCCCTTGGGCTGCTTCTGCACGAGGTAGCCGCGGATCTTGGCACCGCCGTCCTTGGGCGGCCGCCACGAGAGCGTGACGGAGTCCTTGGTAATGCGCTCCGGACGCGGGGCCTCCGGCGCGTTCGGCTTGTCTGCCGGGCGGGGCGGGGACACATCGTCAGCGACCGAGACAAGCGTCGATGCGCCAACACGAAATGGCTTTGGTGAAACTGCAAGAAGTACGCATGCAAGTGTACTGAAGCTTGGCGGTTTAAGTCGTTTTGACTCGGACTGCCTTGACTTAAAATTATGGCTTTACAGACACCTGCACGAGTTTGGTGTAGACCAGAAGTTGGAGCCATTTTGCCTGCGACTCTTTTCTGCTTAACTATGAGTTCCAGGACATGTCTGCGTCCATCGAGCCTGCTGCAGCTACCGTTGCCCCTCCGCTATATCCACAAGAACCCTTGCCGTCACTGGACAGAGCGGTTGGCGGGCTGTAATGACCCCGATTCGCCACAGCATCACGCAGGTAATCACCAGCCTACCGCACCCACATCGCCTCTTCCCGCGAGTCCGGCGCCCACAGAGACAGTCAGCCGCCGGCGCCCACATCCGCCCCCCCCCCCCCTCCCGCGGGTGCCGGCCACTCACAGAGCATGGTGCCGCAGGTGACGGGCTCGGAGGGCCGGCTGGGCTGGCCCGGGCCGGCGTCGTTGACGGCCAGCACGCGGAACTCGTACCGGCTGCCCTCCGACAGATGGCTGACCGTGTGACTGGTGGTCGGCACCAGGTACGTGTTGCACTTGATCCATTCGCCGCCGCGGTCTCGGCGCTCCACCAGGTACCCTGCCGGCCAGCCAGCGCGTGCACTCGTTACGACTGTGTACGGATATCTGCGACTGTCCACGCACATCTATTCGCTGTTCACTTCTTCACTGACGTATCCAGCTGATATTTGGTTATTGCTATTGATATGATATTTGAGATATTCTTATGATGGGATGTCTCTTGATATTATGATATTATGATATATGATATTATGATATTATGATATTATGTCTTATGATATTCTTATCTCCCTAGACCCAAGTGAGACCGGGCTGCCCCCACCACTGCCCACCTGAGACGGGGTTGCCTCCGTTGTACTCTGGCGGCGTCCAGCTGAGGCTGACGCTGCTCGGCGTGTATGACGTCACTAGCGGCTGGCCCGGCGCATCCGGAGGGTCGAACGGATTCTTGGCTGTCACCTGGCAACAGCCAATCAGCAGTCACCAGCCCGCTCCGGTTGGCTTACTTTGCAATAGACAAACGCAAACTTCCTACCAGCGACAAGCAGCACGCTCAGAGTGTGGCCGAACAGACTGTCAACTCGCGATATCATGCCCATGTTTCTGACCTGCTTTTCGCCCAGTTATCAGAGTATACATCCCCCAAGTCGGTGGATGACGTTGCCGCCGAATCAAAGCCATATGCACCGCAAAAATCCAAAATCGACGAGCTGTCTAAAAAAGACATAAACAGGTGAACGAAACAAAGCAGCAGCATAAAAACAGCCCATCGTTGATAAAAACTCAGCCGCAAACTCAGCTTCCTGTCTCACTAGCCGTGCCTACCACCTGGCGCCCCCCCCCCCCCGCGCTCGACCGGTGCCTGACGCGGCGACCCCTGACTGACCTCCATGCCGTCGAGCGGCTCTGACAGGCCGTACATGTTCTCGGCTCGGATGCGGAACTTGTACTGACGGCCCTCCTGCAGTCCCTTGGCGGTGAACAGCGGGCTGGGGATGTAGCCAGGCACCACGCGGAAGTTGTCCGAGCCGTTCTCCGCCATCTCCACCTGGTAGCCTGCGGACAACAGTCGATGCCGCGTGTCGATGGACGGCCGGATAAAGTGAGACGCGTCGCCTTCTTGCCGTGATCACTAGCAACGTGCAATCAGTAAACTGTTTAAATGCAACGCATATCGATGCATTGCGTTTAATGCAACGAGAATCAGTATTCTTATTTCAAGTGCACCATGCCTGTTGTTTACAGAAAACTAATTTCAGCTTGATGAGGTGAGGCTGAAGACGTCTTCTCCATACCATCTGCAGCAACACCCCTGACGGAGCAGTCCCACCCCACACCACACCGCACAACAGCGCCATCGCCGCGGCACGAGACGCACCCGTGATGTCGCAGCCGCCGCAGTCCTCGGGCGGCTTCCAGGACATGGTGATCTGGTTGGCGGTGACCTGGTCGTAGGAGAGCGGGCCGCGAGGCGCGCCCGGCTTGTCCACCACGATGACCTCCACGTCGCCAGAGTCGGTGCCGTACGCGTTGCTGGCGGTGACGGTGTACTGGCCGGCGTCTTCGCGCACCGACTTGGGGATGTGGAAGCTGGTGTACTCGGGTGACGTGATCATCTGGGGGAGGGTGGACGGGCACGGTGAGACGGGTGGAGCCTCACGATGAGAGGCAGCCAAACCGTACCCTTGCTCTCGTGCCAGCTTATCGTTCCATACGGGGCATCCACAGTGCCGCGCGCTACGCGAAGCTGGATGTAATGCGCTTTCTAGTAGCTTTTCAATATCGGTTTAGGATGTCGCTAGCATCACAGTACAACGCGATCACACATTTGTACGGCTCTCTCCAGACTCCGGGAAAACACAATGTGTGTCTGCGAAGGTCAAGTTATGTTCTCCCTCTCACTGGACAAGCTCCGCCAGTTCGCGCAGAACTCCGAACCTAGTAAACCATTCACAGTAGTCAGCGTCCCAGCAATACCGCCCAACCAGGCTAAACCGAGCTCGCTCGTCGCCATTACCAACATCGTCACCACTCGCTGTCTGCCCGGTTGGCGGTGCCCCACGAGCAAACGCAGTCAGATAATTACAGCCGGTGAGCGCACTAACGTCCTGTTGACAGTTCCAGCCCGACATCTGGACCGTCAACGCCCTCTTCCTCAGCGTTCGGTGCTCGGTGGCGTACATTCCTCGCTCGCGCGACAGTGGGACACAACACACGCTCATGAGCCTAGCGGCGCTGCCGGGCGTCCGCCGCCGGTGCCGACCCACCTCCGCCCGGCCGCCGGGCGCCACCTTCTTGCCGGCGCGGGCCCACTCGACGGTCGGCACCGGCGCACCGCTGATCGGGATCCGGATGTCGATCGGCTCGCCGGCGCGCACGCGGATCTTGCGGCCCAGGATGCCGTCCAGGTTCAGGCGCGGCGGCTCTGTGCAGCGGCCGCCGGCGTCAGTGGCGAACAGAGGCACAGGGGTAGCTGACTGTGCTGACTGGTGCAACGATAGGCATCAACCATGGTCATAAAATTATTCATTTTTTCAGGATTACAACTGAGTTCTTTGGAATACTTGTTTCGTCTTCCCCACCGATGGAATAAATCCCGTAATATGTTTTACATCGCGGGAACTGATCACAACGCCCGCGCCGTCAGCTGCGACTGGGGTCGAGCCGGGCTGATCCACGGCCGGTGACTGACCTCTCATGGGCTTGGCCGTCATGGTGAGCGATGGGTCGGAGGGGCTGCCGTGGCCGGCGGCGTTGATGGCCGTCACACGGTACTCGTACTGGTGGTACGCCACCACCGTCGTGTCGCAGAACTCCGTGCTCTGCACGGCACAAACGAGCGTCAGCTTGGAATGGCGGTCACTGTGCGATCAGTGCATAATATGGTACAACCATACATGCATGATATAGTACAATGCATAATATGCATAATATAGTACAACATAATATAGTATAGTACAATGCATAATATGCATAATATAGTACAACATAATATAGCATAGTACAATGCATAATAGTATAATATAGTACGATCAGTGCATAATATAGTAGAACATAAAATAGCAATCATATAAACATATGCCCAATACAGATGAGTTGCGACCTGCGAGCCAACTGTGTTTTCATGGCACCTCGGATACCACATGGATGAACTTCGAATTAGAAAACTTCCACGTGCCTGACGAGGCCTGGTACTAATACATAATCAGAGTAACAAAGCGGCGCCCACAAAACTGGCTGTATCAAAACCAGCTCTTCATCTCGAAACCAGCACAAACCTAAGTAAGAGTGTTACTGCTGCTCGCCGCGACATGCTTGCAAATGACTTCTGCAGCTCCCCCCTCCCTCCAGTGGCACTAACCGGGACGGGTTTCCTCCCCCCCCCCAGTGACACTAACCGGGACGGGCTTCCTCCCCCCAATGGCACTAACCGGAACGGGTCGCCCCCCAGTGACACTAACCGGGAAGGGTTCCCCCCCCAGCGACACTATCCGGGAGGGTTTTCTCTCCTCCCCCCCCCCCCCCAGTGACACTGACCGGGACGGGTTTGCGGCTGACGATCTGCCAGCGGCCGGTCATGTGTTCGCGCCGCTCCACATCGTAGCCGGTGATGGCGCTGCCACCGTTGGAGCGCGGCGCCTCCCACTTGACCTTGATGAAGTCGAGGTCGGCGTCCTCCGCCTCCGGTCGACCAGGCCGGCCCGGCACGCCTGGGGGCCGCACGGGGTCAGCCGTCACCACAGGCAGGCCAGCCACGGCACCACGCCGGCCTCTTAGTATACCTAGCCTCTTTTCACGCAAGCGTTATTAGACAGGGATATAATTGGGTGCCAAATTAGAAACACTCGAAAATCGGATAGACAGATGCTTTGTCCCTAGCGCCATTAAAACAGCCATATCTCCTGGCTCAGGAGCCGTTTTGCATCAGTACCATGTTTCTGTTCGTTGTTTCACGTTTGCGGTGCTTTATTATTTGGTTTCATGAGAGCAAATATACAAGTGTAAAGTGATGAATCGATGCATGATAATAAAAAACGCCTGCAGAGTAAAGTTGATAAGCTATCTTGATAAGCCTGTGAAGACACGCTATGTTTCAGCGCTATTTATCCTGTTTTTTCGTGCGTTGCAGAATAACATGTCTGTGGAATGCAGTGGAACCAAATTTGGTGCCTGTCGAAAAACAAAACATTTAAGCATAAAAACCATTTCGGGAGCAGCGACAGGAGCACCTGCAGCACCTGCACACAGAGGCCGGCACATCACCCACTATCGTACACCACCCACGCCGCACAGCCCTGCTCACCGAACGAGTTCCTGGCGACGACCGACTTGTCGGTGGTGAGCGGCTCCGACACGCCCTGCAGGTTCTGGGCGCGCACGCGGAACTCGTACTCGGTGCCCTCCAGCAGGCGGGGCACGAGCGCGTGCGTGTCCTTGGGGTCGACGTACTGAACGGCCGGCACCCAGCCGCCCCGATGCGTCTTGTCCCGCTTTTCAATGATGTAGCCACTGACCAGGAGAAGCGGAGTTAACGCGAAGTCTCCAGCGGTCAAGGGTACGGACCACTGGGCCAGGACTTCGAAGGCAGCACTTATTCAAATGCCAGCTCAAAAAGTCAGGCACAGTCCCATTAACGTGAGACAGTTGAAGACGAAAGTGTGTTACATCGACAAACCATATGACATTTTGCTAAAGTAAAACAAATCAGTGTCAACAGACGACAAGGTTGATGTCAACAGTGAACTTAACGAGTTCAATGGCACGGAATCCAGCAAAGTAAGTCAGCTAAGAACACTGGGCCAGGCCTCTGTCCACCTGCAGACGTCTCTGCCGGGCCCCGCCCCGCCCCGCTCCGGGCGTCCGCCGCCGGACCTGTCGGCCACCTCCAAATGCCTCTGATGGGCCCCGCCCCGCCCCGCTCCGGGCGTCCACCGCCGGGGCCGCCGGCCACCTCCAGACGTCTCTGACGAGCCCCGCCCCGCCCCGCTCCGGGCGTCCACCGCCGGGGCCGCCGGCCACCTCCAGACGTCTCTGACGAGCCCCGCCCCGCCCCACTCCGGGCGTCCGCCGCCGGGCGCCCGCCGGCCGACTCACGTGATCGGACTGCCGCCATCGTCGCTGGGCGGCTTCCAGGAGAGCGTGACGCTGTTGGCCGTGACGTCGTCGTACTCGAGCGGGCCCTCGGGCGGTCCGGGCGTGTCCAGCACGGTCACGGTCATGGTGCCTGCCGACGGCGGTCGTGTCACAGCAGATACGGCGGCGCTCAGCAGAAACAGCCGCCGTAACGGCCGCCGCCGCCGCAGAAATGGTAGCCAAAACACAATCAGATCACAGCCACCCAACGTAACGCCGTTTTTACAACAGAAAACACCGGTCCCGGATACTGGCAGCAGTGTCAGACAACACATGCTCAAGTCACAATGTCCCATACGCAATTCACACAATGTGTGTCCGTTGTGTCATACGCATACAATTCTTTACAACATCTTGGTTGAAACAATTCAGACGACTTTGGTCGCCTATCGCCACGTTAGAAGCTGATAGAATTGCATTTCATTCAGAATCTTAGTCATCCAAATGTCTTATGGTGACAGAACACGTTACGAGCAAGAGCTCAGATTTTGTCTCGGAAAAAACAAACTGTCGAACCTGTAAAAGAAAGCTGGGACAGCCCTCACTCCCACTGGGACCTCTCACACGCTCGCCGGAGGGGATCGGCACGGTAGCGAACCTACCCTCGTCCGAGCCGGACCGGGCGGCGGACCTACCCTCGTCCGAGCCGGACTAGGCCGCGGACCTGCCTTCATCCAAGGCGGGCTCGGCGGTGGACCTATCCTCGTGTGATCGGATCGACGGCGGGCCCACCCTCGTCCGAACCGGACCCAGCAGCGGACTTACCCTCGTCCGAGCCGGACTCGTTCTCCAGGCGGAGGCGGTACGCGCCCGATTCGCCGCGCTGGGCGTTCACGGAGTGCACCACGGTGTGGTGATTGGTGGCCGTCATGGTGGTCCTGCGGGAGCAGACGAGGACGTGTTCAGGCTCACAGACGGGCAGTGTTCAGGCTCTCAGGCGGAGCGGTATTTAGGCCCTCAGATGTGGTGGTGTTCAGGCCTTCAGGCAGGACGGTGCTCAGGCCTCAGGCGGGGCGGCGTTCAGGCCTTAGGCGGGGCTGGCAGTGCTTGGATGTACCCCCCCCCCCCTCCCCACCCGCGCTTTACTGGTGTCAGGTGTTATCGATTCTAGAGATCAGGCTAATTTAGTAAGAGTGTCAGCATCCGACGCGGTGACTCCAAATAGGGAGCTTCTTGGTGTTCAAATTCCTCCTAATATAAAACATTACCGCACACGCCGGCCGGAGCTGGACCGACCTGTCGGACAGCACCAGCGGCTGGCCGTTGACCAGCCACTCGACGGTCGGGTCCGGCTCGCCCACGAAGTCGATGTCGATGTGTAGCGTCTGGCCGGCTTTGATGCGCAGCTCGGTCATCGGCGTCTTGATCTTGGGCGCCACTGCCGGGAGAGGGAGCGTCACGCCGTCACGCCGGGGTTGCGGCTGCCACGGGCACGCGCACGGCCCAGCGTCACACCACCTAACATCCGCCAGTGGGCCGCGCTGAGACGCACACAGTCAGCTGCCGAACTGCTCTGGAGATAAAGCATTTCACAAAGGACAGGCGGTCCTTGCGGAGCTACGTCCTAACGCGTGGTAAATGTAGCCAGTGCAGGCACACGTTCCCTCGACCTGTGCCTCACACCCGCTCCCTCCCTCCCCTCCCTCCCTTCCTCCCTCGTTCCGTGTCGCCGCTGTCTCCTCTTACGTCTCCTGGGACGGGCCATGACCATCTCGGACGGCTCGCTGGGTTCGGACAGGCCAGCCTTGTTGACGGCGATGATCCTGAACTCGTACTCCTGGCCCTCGGTCAGGCCCGGGGCCTTGCCCTGGCGACATGAGGCACGCTCATCATACGTCCGCATCGCTCATACCACACGGCAGGCGGAGACAACTGCTAAAGTGAACTCCCGTGCATGACGCGCGAGTTTTAACATAAATCAGACAACTTGTAGCCGGCTCTAGGCAAATCTTGGAATGTGTGGCTTAACATTCCACTCCGCATGGCCTCAATAGCACGCAGAATGGGTGCCATTTAGCACGATGAATGTTATGTAGCTCCCCCCCCCCCCCCTTAGTCCAACAGCCCACCGCCGTGCGACGCCCGCGGCGCGGTCTGCTCACCTTGGTTTTGTCCGCCGGCACCTTGGCAGCGTCCTGCCAGATGGGCGAACCTCGCTCCTTCTTCTGGATGATGTAGCCCGTGATGGGGGCGCCACCGTCGTTCTTCGGCTTGGTCCACTCCAGCTCGACGAAGTCGCTGTCCCAGTCGGTGACCTTTGGTCGGCCCGGCGCGTCCGGCTCATCTGTCGACAACAGAGCGAGGTCAAGTACGACTTTCATTCTGTACAAATTCCGGCTCGAGTTTGCTAACTGCTATATACCAGGGAATCGCGCAGTTGGGGAAAACCCGTTATGCCCGTTTTCAACATTATATCGATTCATTTTATGCAAAAACCGAACATTTTGGCCACAGACACGTCTAACTGCACCTCTAGTAGATGATATGGCATTCTCACCGATTTCAACTCTTTAAAACACTTTGAAGGAGGCAAAGATGAATAAGTTAGTTCAGCCTTTGTCCGCAAAACCTTGCTGAATGACTACTTACTTGCGTGAATAGGACAACTCACTCTAAAATAGTTCTATCACGAATTTATTTCGTACAAAAGGTAGGATCTAATTTTCAACAAACGGCGTTCAATATCAGTTCCAGCTTCCAAAGCTTTGACTGAGCCGCAGTACGTTAGACCACACGGGCTTGATCCCGATGCAGCCCAGCCCGACGTACCGCATTCGTTCTTGGCGATGATGCTGGAGTCGGTGGTGAGCGGCTCCGACTCGCCGATGTTGTTCACGGCCTTGACGCGGAACATGTACTCCTTGCGGTGGATGAGGCCTGTCACTTCGCCAGTCAGGGTAGAGCTGTGACACACCTGCGGGGGAAGGAGGGGGTGTGGGTCATGTTGCTGTCCGGCTGAGGCCTAGAGACGGCGCGGTCCCGCCCTTCTGATGCATACAAGCATGCATGGTTAAGAAACACAGGCTCAAGTATGCCGTATGACGGCACAGGGTGCCAGCAGTGCAACTAGACATGCAGTTGTACAGGTCAAGAATATAATTATTGGATACTCGGATACCTTACTTCACAGCTACTCTGAGTACATAGTTGCGATGCTATAAACCTCTCAAAACCTCAACATAAGTACCAGAATGAACGGTGAAGCACGCACTCTGCTTGCGCTGACGACCCGGTCGAGTGCACACGACCCGCGCGCCTGACTCACCTCCACCCATGTACCGCGGGTGGTGTCCATCTTCTCCACCAGGTAGTGAGTGATGGGAGAGCCGCCGTCATCCTTGGGCTCGCCCCACGACAGCTTGCAGCCCTCCTTGTTGACGTCCGCCACGTTCAGCGGCGCTTGCGGCGGAGACGGCTTGTCTGCGGGGAGAGCGCTCGTCACCAGATTATCCCGAGCCGACGTCTCCATGACGGGAACGTAACACCGGCGGCGGGCCAGTCAACAGCGACGCGATCGCGTGATGACGTCAGGCTACCGTGAACCGTCAAGGCAATCGCCATGCTGTGAATGGGCTGTCGCCGCGTGTGTGTGTGTGTGTGTGTGTGTGTGTTGTGTGTGGTGTTGTGTGTGGTGGTGTGTGTGGTGTGTGGGTGTGTGTGGTGAGAGAGAGAGAGAGAGAGAGGAGAGAGGAGAGAGAGAGGAGAGGAGAGAGGAGAGAGAGAGAGAGAGAGAGAGAGATAGAGAGAGAGAGGAGAGAGAGAGAGTAAGAGAGAGAGGTATCTGACCGACCCAGCGCAGTTTCCTGTCACGGAGAGGCCTCTCTATACAATAAACAACGACTACGTGGAAAGCCTACTCACCGTGTTAGCAGCAGCCGTGAGTAGCCGGCGGTGGTGGTGCTGACAGTGACGCACCAACATGGTGCCGGGTGGTGACGTGCTGACTGAGCGCCGTGACAGTGGGTGAAGACGCTGACCCCACATGGTGCCGGGGTGGCTTTGGTAACCGTGCTGACTTTGAGTAGCCGCTGGACAGTGGTGAAGGAACGCTTGACCCCAACCAGTAGTGCCGGTGGTAATGTGCTGACTGAACGCCGTGACAGTGGTGAAGACGTTGAGCCAACATTGTGTCGGTGGTAACGTGCTGACTGAACGCCGTGATAATGGTGAAGACGCTGACCCAACATTGTGTCGGTGGTAACGTGCTGACTGAGCGCCGTGACAGTGGTGAAGACGTTGAGCCAACATTGTGTCGGTGGTAATGTGCTGACTGAACGCCGTGATTATGGTAACGGCGCTGACCCAACATGTCAATAGGGGCTACAACAGTAGGAGCCTCCCGTGATGACAGTGGTGATCCGACCGGCCCACCCCGTCAGCAGCGCTGACGGTACTCCACTGACCCAGCACGGTGACGGTGGCGGTGGCCGAGTCGGAGCCGAGCTCGTTGCTCAGCGTCAGCGTGTATTTGCCCGAGTCGGAGCGCAGCGAGAACGGAATGTCCAGCGTGGTCTGCTGGCCGTACGTCATCAGCTCCACCCGGTCCGACGGCTTCAGCACTTTGCCGTTCACCTTCCATTCCACCTACACAGAACAAAACTCCAGTGTTACGTGGAATTCGTTCAGGCAGCTGTAGATTTCAGAGTTTTTGAAACAAGGATCGTTGTCGTCGCGTTCGGCATCAAAGCAACGGTCGGTAATGTAATGACATTCGCATAGTAATTATAACCGATGGGTGAATCGGCAGCGAGCGGAGGTAGAACTGAACGCCAAGCTGCCTTTGTCAGACGTATCTCACCTTGGGTTTCGGAGACCCTTCGATGGGGATGTTGTACTGAACCCTGGTTCCAGCCCGAACAACCAGATCCTCAAGAGCGTGCTTGTTGAAGGATGGTTTCACTGGGGAGACGCAGAACAACTTCAGATTAAGTCGCAAATGCGAACAGCGTGTACTACATCTATGCACTTGTCAAACAAAGAGAATGCACATTTCTTGGTGCTACCCACAGCGACGTCAAACGCTCGTAGTCACTGGCCCGGACTGAAAGCTGTTTCATCCCGCTTCAGCAACGATGGCTGCTCTGTCCGTTCAACAACAGCGTAGGACGGCCGGGCGGCACTCACCGAAGCGCGGCTTGGCGACGACGCTGGCGCTGGGTTCGCTGGGCTCGCCGGGGCCAGCCTCGTTAACGGCGATCACGCGGAACTGGTACTCCTCGCCCTCGGTGAGGTCGGGGGCGGTGCCGCGCGTCTGGTCACCCGGCACCTCGGCCGCCTTCTCCCACACTCTGCGGCGACGGTGCGGGGTCAGGTCAGAGGTCAAGTCAGGGCGGCGCAGGCGGCACGCCCAGAATTAGCGGCTGGCACGGACAGCCTCACAAATACAGATATATAATATCGATATATAAATACAAATATAATAATATATTACCATTAATGGCATAAGTGAAATGGAAGGAAAACAAAAGCATGTTCATTTGAAAGCTGTGCAGTGCTTTCTGAGGTGCATTTTGATATGACATGAACAAACCAATACTGCTTACCCGAACTTCGGCTTTTTCTCGATGATGTACTTGGCAACAGGCGAGCCGCCATCCTCCTTCGGGGCCGTCCATTCCAGGTCGACATGGTCCTTGTCCCAGTCGGTGGGCTGCGGAGGCAGGACCTCGTCAGCGCAGACGACGCGAGCAGAGGCTAGTCGGTGAAGCCCACCGTCGCCAGGATGGAGTTATCCCGCGACGTTACGTCTCAGCACCACCACCAAAAGCATACCTCACCGCATTAGCACCCACTTGGATCCAACCAAATAAACGTTCCCAACGCGCGCGCCGTTCAAGATGATCGCATTTACAAAATCATTAATGGCCCATCTGATCTAAAGGCGGCTAAGCCAAGGTCGCGACAGATCAGTTCCATCGGCTGGTGGCACCGCCAGAGGGCGGGCGCGGGTGGGCGTACCTGCGGCTGTCCCGGCTTGTCGGGCTTCTTGAAGGGGTCCTTGGCGGTGATGGACTCGGTGCCTGTCAGCGGCTGCGACTGGCCTGACCGGTTCACCGCGCATACGCGGAATTTGTAGTCGTGGTTCTCGATCAGGTGGTCCGCCCTGCGGTAGGACGTGGGGTGCAAGTTGGAACCAGGGCTGGACACATGAATGGTGACAGCGTAACGCGACGCGGCGGAGAACTTGTGGGGCCCTCCGAGTAGCAATTTGGACTGATAAAATGCAGACGAATAAAAGCTATGCGTTCAAAATTTTGTTTTAGATGGCGGTATACAGGCAGAACGTGATGAACATTCTTTCATTAGTCACATGATCGCCACGAGACAATTCCCAATGTCATGTGACAGCCATGCATCCTCTTTTGGATCCCCAGTCAAATCACATGACGAGGGCAGCAGCAAAACAACGAGCAAATGCACAACACCCCCAATGAATCCATCTAGTGCTGGTGATAGCATCGTAACGTGCATGTTACATTCCACAAACTTCACATCACAAGACCCACATAAGCCTGATCGACGGAAGCCCCGCGGCCGCGCCCTGCTGTTGACCACGGCAACAGCCACGCCCCCGCCACTCACTTCAGCTGGCACTTGGGGCTGTCGCCGACGGGCACCCAGCGGAATGTGTCCGCGTCCATCTTCTCCACGGTGTAGTGGGTGATTTCGGAGCCGCCGTTGTCCTTGGGTGGCTTCCAGCTGAGCGTGCAGCAGGACTTGGTGACGTTGGCGTACTGGAGCGGTCCCTGAGGTGGGCCGGGTACGTCTGCCGACCAGAGGAGCCACGTCAGCATGGGCGCCATACATTCAGCGCCTGTACATAATACCCGAACCCGAGCGGAAGCACACCCAGCTGCAGCCTGCCACAACGGAAACAGCAAAAGTCGGCGGGTATACGCTCATACTGGCCGTTACGTCAAAGACGGGATCGCAATACAAAACAATTGCGTCTTGAATGCGACTGTTAGTCCCCGCACATCACTGTGAGGCTAACCACTACTCGCCGCCAGTACTATCAATACAACACTTCCCACGCCGTCAGCGCCGGCGCCTGGCAGCACGCACCGGTGACGTTGACGTTGACGGTGACGGAGTCGGTGCCGTTGCGGTTGGTGGCTGTCAGCGTGTACTGGCCGTGGTCGGCGCGGCGGACGTTCGTGACGCGCAGCCGGATCAGGTAGTCCTCGGTGGTGATCTTAATCCGCTCCGACGGCACCAGGTCGATCTCCTGAGCGCGGTCGGCGATGGATGAGAAGCAGCACGACGATGACACGCGCACTAGAATCATGGCCGCGCTCGTGTACGGACGCAGAGAACGGCTCACAAACTACCACTGCGTACATCACAGCCATTCCTGTAGCAAATGTAACCACAATGAAAACATTAATGGTAGGATCGCATGAGAGCTGAACGTTATATATGCAAAGCTCTTTTCCAAGGAGCACGGTAAGCAGCTGTATACTTGGAACGGAAACGTGCTGAGCCTCCACGCGTTTACTGCGAGGCCTACCTGGAAGGACCAGGTCTTGGATGGCGGCGGCTCGCCGGCCACTGGGACGTCGTACTCGATCGACTGCCCGGCCCTCAGCTTCAGGTTCACCATGGCGTTACGGTCGATGCGCGGCGCCACTGCGTGCGAAACACGGCCGTAGTGAAGAGCGCCCGGAATCAGGGGTGCCACAAATACAGCATCCAGATCGCTCCGAGCCAGACGGCGACACGGGCCTAAGCAATCGTATTCGTCTCCAGGTTCAACAAATCAGCGTAGACATTTTCACACAAAGCACCACAACTGATCGTAAAGTTGTGGAACGTATATCCCTTAGCGCCAGTTGAAACTCTTTTCCTCATGATCCTGACAATCGTGCTTTTAGATACATAGCAACATCCCAGCCCTCTCGCCTCTAAAACCGGCTCACACGAGAATGGCAATACTTGCGCCGGGTTTTACTCATCCTTCAAGGGCATACCCAGAGGACATGCCAAAACGCGATCACGCCGGGGCGTCCTCCATCCCGGTGAGCCGACTCTGGTCCAAACACCCTCTACCAGTCCCGGCGGACCACTCACGGTTCTTGGGACGGGCTCGGTGCGGTCCGGTTGGGTCGGACGGCTCGCCCGGGCCCGCCTTGTTGACGGCCACCACGCGGAACTCGTACGTGTCGCCCTCGGTCAGGTCTGGCACGTGCGCCTCGGTCTTGTCGCCCGGCACGGTCACGGCGTCCTCCCACTTGGGGCTGCGGTTGGAGGACTGGGGTCAGCAGGCTCTCACGCGTCGAGGTCGACAGCGTCACACGCACTAAGGCCCGCGGGCTCACACATATATAAATCAGGAGGCCTCTACGGAATGAGGACTGAGCTTCCTTACATGTGATCGTAGAGTTGCAATGATGCGGATGGACGCTCTCAGGCAGGTCTGGCGATCAGAGAAGAGCTGACGCCATTCCTCCAAGTAAGACTAGATATGTCACAGAGGGCAACATCGGGAAAAAACATCGGAGGAGGTGAGCAAACCATGCCTGCAAACTTGGGCCTGACGCGCCTTTACGACTCGAAGACCCCTGTCACGGGTACCTCACCTGTTCTTTTCCCTGCGCTGGATCACGTACTCCTTGATGGGGTTTCCGCCGTCCGACTCTGGCGCCGTCCACTTCAGATCCACGAAAGTCTTGTCGAAGTCGGTGATCTCCGGGGTGCCAGGCTTACCAGGCTCGTCTGTGACGTCACGCAAACGTAAGCAAGTGGAAAGAGAGCGTGTTTAGTGCAGCAAAACATATTTGCGTTGAAAAAATATACCACGCTAGCGTTTGTGAGTTATCATATCCTGCCTATATATTTCTCTTACTTCTGTTTTACCTTCTTCTCATTTATGTCTTCGGAAGTTTTGACACTAGTTAAGACCACACCGGAAGTTCGCAACACTGGGTAAAAACGAGCGATAGGCACAACATACCCGAATCTGAGCGAGGAAGTTACCCCATGGACGCCTTTCATCACTACAGCTCCTCGCCGATGCAACCGTACTGAATACTCTGACACAGAGCCCATGCCTTCACCGTCATCTCCGCTGCCCACTCACCAAAGGGATTCTTGGCCTCAATGCCGTGATCGGTGGTCAGTGGCTCGGAGGCGCCCTCCTTGTTGACGGCGCGCACGCGGAACTTGTAGTGCTTGCCCGGCACCAGGCCGTCCACGTCGAACTCGGTCTGCGGTCCGTCCGTCTCTCCTGCCTTCACCCAGCGGCCTGCGGAGGGCGCCACCGGCGGTCGGTCAGCACGAGAGGCCGCGGGAGCGATGGAACGGGGTCGCCATCGCCGACAGACAAACGCCTATGCAATCACGAATTGTACAGATATGACAGCAGCAGCATGCTGTTCAGACACAAATGCTGCCTGCTGGAGGTTTAACAAGAGCTGAACGATCGCGTGCGTCTCCCAGACGTTTCCCTGCCGCCGATGCCAGGTCGCGTTACCCACCGGTGGCCTCGTCCATTTTCTCGATGACGTATTTCTGGACGGGCTGTCCGCCGTCGTCGGCGGGCGGCTTCCAGTTGAGCTTGCAGCCCTGGGCGTGCACGTCTGAGACCTTGAGAGGACCGGTCGGAGGCGCCGGCTTGCCTGCGCATAGCCGGAGTTCACAGGTCAAACACCGTAGAGCTCAGGTCAGACAACGGAGGGGTCTCACAGGCCAGATGTGGGGGACAGATTACCAGATTGGTCAGGGATGACAGAGGGGTCGTCGGCAGGGTCAGAGGAAGCAGACAGGTAATCGGACAGGTCAGAGAAAGCAGACGGATCATCAGACAGGTCAGAGAAGGCAGTCCGATTATCAGACAGGTCAGAGAAGGCAGTCAGATTATCAGACAGGTCAGAGAAGGCAGATGGATCATCAGACAGGTCAGAGAAGGCAGACTGATCATCAGGCAGGTCAGAGAAGGCAGACGGATCATCAGACCGGCCAGAGAAGGCAGACGGATCATCAGACAGGTCAGAGAAGGCAGCCAGATTATCGGCTGAAGCCGACAGATCGGACGGGTTAGCCCATAAGACAGGGCGCATTACTGAGCGATCGTTACCGCTGGCGTGACGAGCATGCGCGTACCTGACACCGTCACGTGACCAGCACTACCAGTGTCCGCCAGCAGGACATCCAAACGGCACCCAGCGGACGACAGCCGCCAGCGGAGTGGCACGAACCGTGAACAACTGGCGACGCTTCCCAGACGCATGCCATACCCCGCGCGTGATCCGCCGCGCTCGGGCCGGCCACCCCGGCAGGTGACCGCCGGTCGCGTACCGAGCACGATGACCTCCACGTCAGCCGAGTCCGTGCCGTTGTCGTTCTCGGCGGTCAGGGTGTAAGTGCCGGTGTCGGCGCGCGTGGCCATGCGCACCGTCAGCTTGATGTTGTAGTCGGACGGCGTCAGCCTGCGGGGACGGACGCTCGGGTCACCACCGCCGGTGCAGAGCTGGTCCCATAGGGTCTTAATGGTGGTGTGCATTCCGCAGTGAACATCCCCATAGTACCGAACAGTGTTACGACATTACTGGGCACCATTTCGTCAACAATGTTAGGTATTGCGGCACTCATAGTTGGTAGTGCAATGGTCGCACAGCTCTACTCAGTCCGTAAAGTCACCAGACACGCAGTAGGGCGTACCCCGCGCCCTCGCCGCCGAACAAACGACAATCACGGACACCAGCTCAACCCGCGCCGGACGCCCCCCAGCCGCACGAGCGGCCACGAGCTCACTCACTTGACGCGGTCGGACGGCGTGACAGGCTTCTTGTTCAGCGTCCACTTCTTGCTGGGCGGCGGCTCGCCGGCCACGTCGACGTCGTAGCTGAAGTTCTGGCCGGCGCGGATCTTGATCGGCCTCAGGTTGGTACGGTCGATCTTGGGCGCCAGGTTGCGTGGCTTGGCGATGATCGGTCCCGTGGACTTGCTCGGCTCGCCGGGACCGGCGGCGTTGATGGCCTTCACGCGGAAGTCATACGTCTCGCCCTCGGTGAGATCCGGCACGGTGGCGGTCAGCTGGTCAGCCGGCACCTGCGGCACGGTACGACACGACACGCTCAGAGGGCGGCCGGCACCCACGGCGCGGTACGACACGACACGCTCAGAGGGCGGCCGGCACCTGCGGTGCGGTACGACACGACACGCTCAGAGGGCGGCCGGCACCCGCGGCGCGGTACGACACGACATGCTCAGAGGGCGCCGGCGCCCGCGACGCGGTTTGACACGACACACTCGGAGGGCAGCCGACACCTGCGGCGCGGTACGACACAACACGCTCAGAGGCCGGCCGGCACCTGCGGTGCGGTACGACACGCTCAGAGGGCGGCCGGGGCCTGCGGCTGGGCACGGTACGGCACGCTCAGAGGACTTTCGCCTTGGCTGGTGCTAACCGAGCATGCAACATGCCGTCAGTTGGCCCGTGGAGGTAGTGGGAAAATAATTTGTGTATCATATCCTGCTGATCTGAGCAATTGCAGCGTATCAGATCGAGTGTCAAGACATCATGGAATGCAATTTTTTTTAGCCCGTCGGCTATTATGAGCTTAGGTCATAACAGAAAAATGCCCGGTGTGGAAAATGAGCAGGTTTTATTACCATCAGTAAGCAGCAATGTCTCATAATGAAATAAGTGCGTTGCCTTGAAGGCGTTGCACCAGCGAGGTGATGGCGGAGCTGACAAATACCACGTTAGACGAGGGCTTCTAAGCGGGGGGGGGGGAGGGGAGATGACGACTTGTCATACCGGGTAAGAAGGGTGGATCCCGCCCGTCTCGTATATTCCGGTCGCCATTTCTAAGCGATCGTTTAGAGCAGCCTCAAATTTGGTGACGCTCTTTGTGACGTACGATTTTTGCAGGTTGCTTACAAATTTGGAAAACAATGATCGCTCAAGTACAGTTCCAGAGCTTGATTTCGGGAGGAAACATTGCTGAGATTTGACTTTCACTCGTCGATCAGCATGCATGTACAGTGTACAGTGTGTACATATTTGCATTTCTGTGCATATGGCTACACGAAGTGTCAGAGGCTAGATCAGGTAGAACGACTAGGGGTGGGCATATGGTGAAACATGGGTGAATAGGGAAGTAGGAGGGGGCAATAACGAACACTGTACCCCCTGAGGGTACCGTGTCCGAAATTACCACATCAGTCGGAGCAGCCTCCCAACTACACGGCCACCAGTGTAGAAGGGAAGGGATAATATCGGAAATGGGTGAAGCGCGTTGGGTCAAATAAGTAGCTGTTCATTTTGGCTATTGCAGCCTCATTGCTGTTTCAGGTGAAACAAGTATGCATGTTAACTATGCAAAAACAGCATTTATGTTTTGTTCAAGGAGGCTCCAAAGTAGCGAAGGCATGTCCTCATTTGAATACCCTGGGTACGCCCCTAGTGCAAACACTGGACATTACATTTACTGTGTTTTGCGGTTTTGCAAAACTGAAGACCATCCAGATTTTTTTTCGTTATTGCTGTCGCCATGCCAACCAAGCTGCATCAGCAGCAATAGCCCCCCTGGCCGAAAGCGGGCGAAGTCCTCCGTTACGACGCGTCTCGCGTACCTCGAGCGCCGGCACCCAGCGGCCCGACTTGTCCTTCTTCTCCACCAGGTAGCCGGTGATGGGGGCGCCGCCGTCGTTGGCCGGCGGCTCCCACTTGAGGTCCACGTGGTCCTTGTCCCAGTCGGTGGCCTCCAAGTTGCCCGGAGGGCCTGGCTCATCTGAGGAGATTGGCATCATTTTTGTCGTGAGTTAAAGAGCAGCCAAAATATACAGGCCGACGTTAAATGGGACGCAGCGTCGTTGCGGTGTAATTTGGCGTCATTTGTTGACAAACACGACTGACATTTGCCACTGGCGATGCACGGAACCCACACGCCGAAGAGCGCGCCCAGGTTAGGTATCCAGCGTCCAAAGTAGTGTTACTACACTCGCTCAAGTACAACGTGCCAACATCGCCGTGGTGTAGGAGGTGCAAGGTCACGGATGGTTATGTAATTACCCCAAGTAACCTTGCATTATTCATTTCAAATAAGTAGGGGTTAGTTTTGAGTCACGTCCAAAGCCGCCCGTTTTTTTCGGACGTGCCGATGAAGAGCAATGTAGCGATCTGGTTCAGAGCCAGGAAAACGGCGGAGTCAAACGCGTACACCAGCCTTGCCCAGTGACTACGTGACGTCACACCATATTGCCAATCTGCTGAAACGCACGCCTCATCAAAGCGCTTGACATTGCGGGGGAGGCTGCTCACCGAACGGATTCTTGGCAACGATGGTCTGGGTTCCCTCGAGCGGCTCCGAAGCGCCCTCCTTGTTGACGGCCTTGACACGGAACTTGTACTCGTGACCCGGTGTCAGGTTGTTGATCTCGATCTCAGGCTTGTCGGAACGGCCGGCCGGCATCCAGACGCCCATCTCGGGGTCGAACTTCTCCACCTCGAAGTGCTCGATCGGGGTACCGCCGTCGTCCTTCGGAGGGTTCCATTTGAGCTTGCAGCCGTGCTTGTGCACGTCCGAGACCTGAGAACGAACATCCTCTCCGGCTTAGAACGAACACGTTCCGAAGCCTGGCATCGTTTTGTAGCCGCGAGGATGGAGATAGAACGGTTTCCAAGCGAACGTTATATGATCACAGGGCGAAAGCTCGGGAGTAACACATAAATGGAGTTGCTCAGAGAATGAACGGGATTTCCTACCACAAATCACTCGCACTTATTTGACTGATCACGTTTTTTACGCACATCACACAACATGCAACCTAGCACTGCTTTCCACGTACGGTATATATATATATATATATATATATATATATATATATATATATATATATATATATATATGAAAGTACGCATCAAGGTGGCGCAACGTTTTCTGTACATACAGGGCTTCAAACCACGAATAAATCTTATGACCAAGAGGCCCGGCATCACAACAGCTCATGTGTAAACGCGAGTGATCTTCACTTTGAACACGAGAGGAAAGAGAACATCAATACATCTATTGACGACAATTGTGATCTCTCTTTGAATGAATCAATGACAACTGCCACCACCCTTCACGTGTCCTCTCGCCTTCTAGCCAAAGGCCACTCACGCTTGCATTTAAACTATCACAATTTCGAAGCCTACTGACCACAACAAATACACGAAGTAGCAAGCTCCCGCACGGATAGGCTCATGCATCATTGTCACGGCTGTGCAGAGCGGTCGCCATGAACGTCTCGTCTCACCTCCAGCGGGCCCTCCGGCTTGGCGGGCTTGGACGTTATGGTGACCTTGACCGTGACCTGGTCCTTGCCCGAGCTGTTCTCGGCCGTGAGCGTGTACTCGCCCGAGTCGCCTCGGCGAGCGTTGTGCAGCACAAACTTGGTGTTGTAGTCCCGCGACTCGATTGTCAGCTGCTTGGTCGGTCTGCAGGAAGAGCGCGGAATGTTTAGCACGCTGAGATTTTGCCAAAACTTTATGAAGATTCGAAGGAACGCGCGTATGTCTGCGCGATGCAATCTTTCGCGACAGAGTACTGAAGAACTCAAACACATAATATACAATGTCACGAGCGAGCAAACATGATATTGGTGCTTACGAGCAGTTTTCAGCTTGCTGAAACAACAGACGCGACAGGATACAGGCCAAATAGATATGTTTTCAACGCACGTTAGGACCAACGTGTCGGGGCCGTATCTTTTAAAAGACGGAGCTTTGGATTCATGGACAGCTTGTTACTGAACACAAAACCTCGTCAAATGCCCTCTAGAGCCGACTTCACATTAAAAGCACTCCCTGAAGTCGAGACATAACGTTGATAATGACCGCGGACTTGGCCTGCCAGCGCAGCACCAGCCCAGCGTCAGGCCGCCGGCGCTTACTTGACTTCAGAGCCGTTTTTGAACCACTTGGTGGTGGGCGCCGGCTCTCCCGACACGTCCACGTCAAACTTGACCAGCGAGCCGGACGAGATGGTGACGTCACGCAGATTACGGCGGTCAATCTTGGGCGCCACTGAAATGACGCGCGCGGTGAGCCGGGCACCAGGGCGCAGTGTTGCCCGAAGCCCTGGTCCTACGTAACATGCCTCCCGCAGGCACGTACAGATCAATAGGGCCTCCGTTGATCGAAAGTACGAGCTATACGAAAGCACGTATAGTTCTGTATAGTCGAAAGCGCTGGCCACTGGATGACTAGCTTTACGCCATCGTGCGCACGCGTACTGACTCCAGTGCTATATGCTCGCTCACCCCACTTCACCTCATCTTCCCAGTCACATTTATCCAGCAAGGGCTGTCGCCTGTAACACACCGTAAGAACGTCGACAGCAGTACGCCTTGACAAAGCATTCACCCTCACAAACCCAGCCATGCCCAGGCGAGCGGGTCGCCGGTACTCACAGAATCGAGCCTTGGCCACGATCGGCCTGCTCGGCTCGGACGGCTCCGAGGCGCCCGCCTTGTTGAGCGCGAGCACGCGGAACTGGTACTCGACGCCCTCGATCAGGTTGTGGACGGAGCCGGTGTTCTCCGGTCCCTCCAGCTCGCACGCCTTCTCCCACATCATTCTGGAGGGGACGCAGACCATATCAGCAGGTCGTAAACTGCCAAGGTCAACCCGGATAACGTGACGCACAGCTTCGCTTTTTGTCTCGTTTTTGATTAATACTATTTTCGATAGTCTCTGATCAGTTGACAAGCTAAAGCAGCGCGACGAAGGCGCATGACAGTGCACTGAGTTTACTGACCCGTAGGAGTCGCGTTTTTCGATGATGTATCCGGTGATCGGAGAGCCGCCGTCGCTGACCGGCTCCTTCCAGGTCAGCTCCACGTGTGAGGTCGACCAATCGGTGGCCTCGGGCGCACCGGGCTTGCCGGGTACAACTGACGAGACGGTTCAAGGTCAGAGTTGTCGCCTATGGGAGGTGAAGAACGCGGCTGGCACAGCCGGCATCTGACCACAATGTTGCCATTGAAGTCCACCCTGCGTTTGGACGCCCCATAAGTGAACCGCCGGCGAAGAATTCCTAATTTCATCGCATTCGGGTAAGACTGTTCAGAGCTCTTATAGAAGGGTCCGTAAACGCAGGACCGGGCGTGTAAACCCAACTTGGCTGCTTTTACACCGCCAAAAGGCACCCAAAAGTCATTTCAATCGCTGAAGCTGCAATACATACAATCTCCCTCTTAGAAGGTCCACTGACCGAACGGATCCTTGGCGACGATGGGTATCGAGGTCTGGAGCGGCTCCGACTCGCCCTCCTTGTTGACGGCCTTCACCCGGAAGTGGTACTCGTGACCCGGGGTCAAGTCCTTGACCTCGAACTCGGGCTTGTTAGAGGTGCCGGCCGGGATCCAAATGCCGACATCGGGATCAAACTTCTCGATGACGTATCCCTCGATGGGCTCGCCGCCGTCGTCGGCGGGCGGCTTCCAGGCGAGCTTGCAGCCCTCCTTGTGCACGTCCGAGACCTCCAGGGGACCCTCCGGTGCACCGGGCTTAGCTGGCGTCAGCAAGAGCCCGTATCAGTGATGCGAGGGAAAAGGTGTCTTCGATGAATGGTGTTGAAAGACGACTCGTTGTACCAGGCTAGCTCTATGGTGCATACGCCTTGAAACACTATCTATCTATCTATCTATCTATATATATATATATATATATATATATATATATATATATATATGTAAATCACAGATCATATGATGCATTGGTGCAATTGATCGAAACCGCTTCTTGTCCCGAACGAGGACATAGTAGCCTTTTTACAATTTACCACTGTGGCAAGCGCCAAAGACGGATACATTTTAAATCAAGTACACATAAAATGACTTAAAATGACAATAATGGCTTAAAGCTGCCACTGTTGGTCGTGCCTTCAGATGCCTTATATAAAATACCCACGCGCAGCTTTGCATCCATATTCTCACGGCGCGTTATGCATCCCAAAGTCTCAGACGCCTCCCGCGGCCTGTTAGAGCCAGCCGTCCCTCGACCACACCGCTGTCCCCGAGCAGCTGCCGGCCAAGCACTTACACACTACGATGACATCGACTTGGGCCTCGTCCTCGCCGTGTTCGTTGACCGCCTTGATGGTGTACGTGCCCGTGTCGCCACGCTTCGGAGTGTCGTTGATATACTTGGTCCTGGAAATCGGCACAACCGTGGGAATGCGACATTGCTTGCAGCTCATCACTTCATTAACCCTGACTCTAGGTGGTTATATGACACGGAAGGAATGATACGGCCAACTGAGCGCCTACCTATGGAGTCAATTTTTATTGAAGACAAAACACATGAATTGATTGCTTAAGTGACACGGCAATCAGCGTCTTTACCAAGGACAGCTTCTTGCGCCACTTTTACCCCGGCCCAATATTCCGAAAAGTTGGCTAATTTTGTACGCACCCGCAGGCCAAATAGCACTGAAAGATCTGCTACGCGTCATGCAACGTCATGCCACGGCTGCCCGGTGCTGGATGTTTTGCCGATTTTCCAGGGAAACATCGTGTTGTTTCAAATAAGAACCGAATTGTCCGACAATCGCTTTGAAACGAAACCAGCGTGCAAGTTGCTAACTCATCAGCATGTTGAGATCACCAGTATCTATTTCACCCGGATATCAGTATCCGGGAGCACAACCTGCATGGCTGATCATTATCAGTACACAGCTCGGCACTGAAACGAGTCATTCGAAGAACATTATGATCCCACTTTCGGGATGGGTATAGGTGTTTAGGCACCTACACCTTGTTTCTCCAATCGTCGCGAGACGGAAGGTCTGAATTTCCGTCGTCTGGAACACAGCACCCCGCAGTGGGAGCACGCAGCCCTCCACACCAGCCCACAAGCCGCATCCCAGCCTAGACCCTGACCCGAGACCCTGTGCGCCGCTCACCTGTACGGCTCGTTCTCCACGCGGTTATGCGTGGTGGTCTTGATGGGCCGGCCGCCCTTCTGCCAGGTGACCTCTGGCGGCGGCTCACCCTCGACCTTGACATCGAACACGATCGGCTCGCCCTCCCGCACCGTCAGAGGTCGCAGGTTGCGCCGGTCGATCTTCGGCGCCACTGGCGGCACGTGCGGAGCGTGAGGGTGGCGGTGGGCCATCGCTGCTCACTGGACAGCCGGGCAGGCGCGGCCAGCTATGGAGCTCCGGGTCGGGCACGAGGGCGTCTTTCACGGATAGGTTCGCCAGTTTGGATGGAGCAGGTATATATGAAATCCTTGGGTTCACATTTATTGGAATCAAACTGGGGAGCACCTATCAGGAAACAGAGATAACTCTATTTGTCTAGTCTTGAAAACGAACGGGCCTTGACCTTTGCCATCGGGTAGACTTAACTAATGTTTGTTTTCACTGCAGAAGAAGATGAAATTCTTTCTCAGGCAGAAATAGATAAAATTGTCTGACATACACAGAGAGAAGTTTTGCGTTTCTCGGAAGGAAGCCCACTCTGGCTTCAGGGCTACAGCAGACAAACTCACGTTTCCTGGGTTTGGCGGGTGACGGGTCGGGAGGCGGCGCTCGGTTCGCCGGGGCCGGCCTCGTTGACTGCGCGCACGCGGAACTCGTACGTCTGACCCTCGTCCAGGTCGGGCACGCGGCACTGACAGTCGGGGCCTGGGGGACAGGCAGCGCAGCATCAGCATCGGCGGGACGCGGAAACAAACGCGCGGTAGCCACGAGCCGCTACAAGGATCATACTGCCTAATAAAGGTGTATCTGGGGAATCTGTGTAGCCCTCAACGCTAGACAAGAAAAAACTCTATAAAACTTAACTAAACAGACAAGGTGAGAGCAACAAAGCTCAACCAATAAATTGTTTTTAACAAACGCCGTCACACAATCTTGCCTTAGCACTTGGCAACGATGTTGAATTATGTAATCAGTCAACACCTGATCTGTCGGCAACAGCCACCGCCGCTCACTCGGCTCGGCCTCGCGAACACACCGCTCACCATCTGTTTCGGCCGCCTTCACCCACTTGCCGGTGCCCCTCTCCTTCTTCTCGACGACGTAGCCGGTGATGGGGGCGCCGCCGTCGTTGGTCGGCGGCTCCCACTTGAGATCCACGTGGTCCTTGTCCCAGTCGGTCGGCTCGGGTCGGCCGGGCGCGCCGGGCTCGTCTGTGGCACCCCACGTCCGGTCACGGGAGGACAGGAGCAGACCTGGCTTGCATGGCACAGTGATGTGTGCCGGGAGCTTCATGGTCGGAAGTTTGGACAAGCGGAGGGTCGGTGGAGGACGAAAAATCACCGTCATGTGTTATTGTTGGGAGTGTAGCCACGCGAGGAAAACGATGTGCTATACATATATGCAAATGCCGGTATAACGTCAGTGCACAAAACAAGATTGTCAAGATATCTGCACTCATAATCGACATATGTGTAACACGGCACAAATTACCACACACCAGACTCTTGATTGGGGGGGGGGGGGGGCAAAGAACTCGCGGCAGGTTTCTGAAGATTCAAAGGATAATAAGCTTAGCGGGGAGGATAAAAGAACGGGGGCACATATCGCATTACCCTAGCGACAACCATTCGGCTCTAGTGTGATCTATTGAAAGAACAACTGATCATCCCAGGTAGCACCATAATTACAGCCAGCCTCACCGAACGGATTTTGGCAATGATTGAGTGGTCGGCTTCCAGCGGCTCCGACTCGCCCTCCGGATTGACGGCCTTGACTCGGAACTTGTACTCGTGACCCGGGGTCAGATTGTTGATCTCCAAGGTCGGCTGCGTGGTGCGGCCAGCGGGCATCCAACGACCTGGGGGGGGGGGGGGGGGCGTCACCGATCACGAGATCACCAGCCAGTTTTATCGCACGGAGGAGTTGTTTCTGTGTCCATGAAGATGTCACATGATCCTGGGCTGCGTGCTTGAGCTGGAATCTGGGCCGTTGCCTGTGCCGGTACTTATAACGGTACAAGAAGCAAGAAATACAACACGTTTCAGTTGATGCTTTCCTCCAAAACATTTTGCGCTGTGATGAATCAATCTAACTATTCGTATAATTCAACTATAACTTTTGGAAACAAACCATGTACTTTTGATGGCGGCTAAGCACATACGTTGTTACGCGACGATACCATTAATGTAGCGGCTGACACATAACGAGATCCATCGGAGATCAAGTCTTAGATTAATAATTCCGTTACAAACCCTTGTCCATTGATTTCTACAGACCTCTATATATTTCCACAGACCCTCGTCTCTTAACCCCTACGAACCTCTACAGACCCTCATCCCTTGACCTCTACAAACCTCTACAAACCTCTACAGGCCCTTGAGCGCCTTGGGACGGAAGGTGGTACTGACCAGTTTCGGGGTCGAATTTCTCCACCAGGTACTCCTCGATGGGTACGCCGCGTCGTCCAGCGGCGGTTTCCACTTGAGCGTGCAGCCCTCCTTGTGCACGTTCGAAATGTCCAGCGGGCCTTCCGGCTTGCCAGGTTTGTCTGAAATCAGAGGCACAGGTCATCAGTTTCACCATATTACTTGACGTTGTCTGGCAAAGATATGGAGAACGCGGCACGTACAGCATAGCGGGCAGCATGGTGACGGGCAAGATAACCGCAGCAGGTAAAGACAGTTCATATGGGAGCCACGGGAGGCATAATGTTTATGCAGTATGGGTGGCTGGCGTTGCGAGGTTAAAGTTTGCGCACCGGCGCAGCACCACTCAGTAGCTTACGATCAGATTTTGAGACCACTTTACCCTTCGTCGCACTTTCCAGGCCTCCCACAAGCGCCCACCCATGCCTCCGTCCCACTCACACCCCTCTCGCCCACTCACCGAGCACAATGACCTTGACCTGGGCCTCGTCCTTGCCCGACTCGTTCTCGGCGCGCAGTGTGTAGGTGCCCGTGTTTCCTTGCGGCTGGTCATGAAGACGGACAGCTTGGTGCGGTAGTCCTCAGTGTCGACGGTGCGGTTGTCCTTGGAGGTCAGCTGGGTGCCGTCCAGACTCCATGTCTTGGTTGGCGGCGGCTCACCACTGACCCGCACGTCGAATTTGAACGGCGTGCCGGCGTGGATGGTGATGTCGCGCAGGTTCGAGCGGTCGATGTAGGGCGCCGCTGTGGGGGTGGGGAGGGGGGTAAGGGGCAGTCAGCACTAACTCGCCCTCCACCACTCGCCGATCACCCGCTGAGTTACAACGCAGTCTGAGTTACAACGCTGAGTCACAACACAATCTCAATGCCAACGCTGTGCTTCTTTTTACTCCTGCGAATCCCCAGGAGCAGGATTTTTTGATACTTTTGTTTAATTTGTTCGGAGCTCTTCCGGTTTACACGCAACTTGTCGAATCTATCGGATTCAGGATGGTAAACAACAGGAGCTCAAGTCGGACGCCGCGGGCAACTGCGTAGTCGTTTAGACGAGACGTTGCGGGCATTCGAGCGGTCTGAAAACTGACTGGTTGACCGGGGGCTGATGGGCTGACTAGAACGCATACAATCCAGTGACGGGCTGCCAGTAAATTGATCATAAAATTCTCGTTTGACAGGATGCCAGAAATACAAAACTGCAGGAGAGTGGTGATGAGGAACATGTTGCAGGCGTGGTTGAAACACACGCAGATTACTCAAATAGGTTGCCTGGACTCAATTTGCTTGTAATCGCCGCCCGACAGACTTTTTGTGTCCAACCATCGGTGGGTGTGTGACAAGTCAAATCGGGGCCTACAAACCAAGCCTTGTGTGCATCTGCCCCTCTTTTGTTGTCCCAAGAGCTGAGCATGTCACGATAATGAAACAAGGAACACTTGATAGGGCTCGACGAACTGAGCTCAATAATGGATGGAGCAGCCCACTGCTAAACCGGGTAACACAAAGTAACAGTTTCGACCTAAGGTTTTCTGAACTTGGCACCAACACAACCCCAGCAAAAGGCCATTATTTATAGTCGATCATGGTAAAGATATTCCGGTTTTCAGACCCGCGAAAATGTTATAAACACAGCTGCTCGTAGTGAATTTTTTTCGCCTGCAGAGGTTTAAAGGTTGTTACGGAAAGGCCCAGGAGAGACCTGAACCCTTTCGTCTATCGCCGTCAGGAGCTGTAAAGTCTAGATATGCACGAAGTTTAACTAGTATGGCCTTTTCGCCAGCGTCATCACTAGGATACTTCACATTGCACAGCTTTTGTTCCACATGCTGGCACCACCAAACTGACTAAGAACTTCAAACGTTACCCAACTTCAGCGGACCGCTTTTGCATCCAGGCGGGAAAAGCCAGGTAAGGGAAGCCACTTACCGAATCTGGCCTTGGCCGTCATGGTCTTGGACTCTCCGCTCGGCTCTCCAGGACCGGCCTTATTAACAGCAGCGCACGCGAACTTGTACTGCATGCCCTCCACCAGGTCGGGCGCGCGACCCTCGCACTTGTCCGCCCGGAATCTCCGCCGCCTTCTGCCACTTGGTACTGCCGGACACGGTAGACGGGAGATGTGAGTGATGGCCGGGCGGGCCGGTGCCCTCTTCCAGCCGGCGGTGCGCGAGAGGGGTCATGAGAACGATACTCGGGAAGGCTGGCGCCCTCTGCCGGCGCGGAGGGGACATGAACCCTAACATAATGCATAGGCAAGGATCGGTGACACATTCTTGCGGCTAAATCTTCAAAAGCGTTCCGGGTGCATGAACGCGAGCGTCCTGCCCACCTGTACTGGTCCTTCTTCTCAATGACGTATCCGACGATGGGAGCTCCGCCGTCAATCCTGCGGTTGGCTTCCACTTGAGGTCGGCGTGGTGTTTGTCCCAATCGACCACGTTCCGGCACGCCAGGCGCGCCGGGAGCGTCTGAGGATGGAGCGCAGACAGTCAGCTGAGCAGAGACGCCCCCGCCCCCCCCCCCCCCCCCCACAAAATCCGCCAAATTGTGTCGAATAGTCACCGTCGTGACAGGTAGGAAATTGTGCCTCGGTGCTCACAAGAATACATCACATAGATATCAAACACCGGACTGAGATAGTAAGCGTGGAACATAAAACAGAGCATCATGGCTGTGATTCAAGTTAAATAAAAAATGGCAGTTTGTTAAGGCACATTATAAATATGTGTACCGGCACCATAGCCATGCAAAACTTTCACAGTGTGACTTGATGAAAGCGAGGCAAGTGGCCTTTCACCGTTCACTCATCCCCGCCTGGCCCTCCCAGCTCACCGAATGGATTTTTGGCCAGCGTCGGCATGAGCGTCTCGAGCGGCTCGCTCTCGCCCTCCGAGTGACCGCCTTCACGCGGAACAGGTACTCGTGGCCCTCGTTCAGGCCGTCTACAACGGCCTCAGGCGTCTTGCTCGTGCCCACCGGCACCCAGCGGCCCGTGTCCTTGTCCATCCGCTCCACCACGTAATGGTCCACCGGCTCGCCGCCGTCGTCCTCGGGCTTCTCCCACTTGAGCTTGCAGCCCTTGGCCGTGACGTCAGACACCTCCAGCGGGCCCTTTGGCTTGCCCGGCTTGGCTGCACACGGGAGGCGACGAGTGGTCACATACGGTGTAGAAAAAGACAAGCAATGATTAACAAAGTCATACGTGAGAAATTGAAATCGCGTGAAGAAACTATTGAAACACAAGATAAGCAGCATTAACACCTTACAGCTCCCAAGTCAATTGTATTACACCGCGGAACACCGCACCATTTTCTCAACGCGAAAACCGACAAACACTCCCTCTCCCTCTCCCTCCTCTCCCATCCTCCCCCTTCGTTCCCGACCCTCGAACCCCCAGCCGGCGCATCGGCACTCACTCAGCACGTTGAGGTCGAGCTCGGCGGTGTCGGTGCCGGACGAGTTGGTGGCCGTGATGACGTACACACCGGTGTCGGCGCGCCGCGCCTTTTGCAGCGCGAAGGACGAGTGGTAGTCCTCGTCGTCGATGACCAGCCTCTCGTTGGGCGGCACCGGCTTGCCCTTGAGCGTCCAGGTGACGTTGGGCGCCGGCTCACCCTCGATGTCGATCTCGACGCGCAGCATCTGACCGCTGCGGATCACCTTCTTGTCCAGTGGGTGCGGTCGATGTGCGGCTTCACTGTCGGCAGAGAAGAGCGTCGGTGCACAGGTCGTAAAGAGGTCGCACTTAAAAACGTCGTACTTAAAAAGGTCGTCTTACTCGAAGGTCGTACTTAGAGGGTCGTAAGCCTTTCATCTTGCCGCCGCTTACCAAAAACTCACCTAGAAGTGGTGCAAAAAGAAGGCAATGGGAACTCATTGTAACGATGCTCACAAATTATGGAGGGATACGGCGCGAACTATTGCCTCCAGTAGCAAGAAAATATATTTTGGTTCGTATGCCTGATGTCTTCTGATTGTAGAGGTTTAACACAAATGTCTGCGAGACATACTGAACAACGCACCAGAACTGGACAAATTTCATAAAGCGTTACTACCACGCGCCTGTCCGGTCCGTCCTGAACATCTGCTACACTCACGGAATCGGGGCTTGCAGATCACAGACTTGGTGGCGTCAGATGGCTCGGATGGGCCCGCCTTGTTCACGGCCACCACGCGGAACTCGTACTCGTGACCCGGGATAACGTCAGTCACGTGACCCTCGGTGGCGTCGCCCTGCCGGAGGTGGCAGGTCAGGCCAGCAGGCTCGATGCCGGCCGGTGCAGCGTCGGTGCGATGAAACAGGAAGCAATGAAGGGCAAATCCCAGACCCCCAAAGCTCCCCATTGTATGGCCAGCCCAAAGCATGCATCATGGCGTACGAAGTGTTGCGACAGGACAGTCGACAACACGCCGCACTTTTGGGAGTTGTGGCACGGAACGCACAAAACCGGCCCTCGCATACCATCCATAGCCATCACCGCGAGTCACCATTTCATCCGCACTCCTCGACCCCCTGCGCGGAGCTTCACAGTGCAGAAGGCCTCGTTGGTTCGTCGTACCCCTGACCGCCTCGTCCCATCGACAATAACGCACCGGCACGGTGAGGCAGGGCTTCCAGGTGCCGGGCCGGTCAGCCTTGTCCCGCTTCTCGATGATATACTCCAGAATGGGAGCGCCGCCGTCGTCCGGCTTCTTCCACTGGAGGTCGACGAAGTCGCGGTCCCAGTTCTTCAGCTCGGGCCGCTCCGGCTTGTGGGGCGGGTCTGCCGGGACGGACAACAGCCGACGTCAAGTTCTGCGCATGCGTGGACAGCCGAACCAACCCTCGGCAAGTCGTGCGCAAGTGAGCGCTTAGTTTATTTTACGTCGTTGATGAACAGCACGGCTGAACTTACCGCATGTACGCATGTAGAGAATTATTTGCCACCACAGTTGGCTTGGGCAGCTGCCAGACTGCATCGGAACCTCACGACTTCGCATTAAAAGCAGACATTTTAAAGACGTAACCAATGAAATGCTACACAGATGCATGTTTACTTTTATATTTCGTACTGAACTCTGCGTTTGCCGATATTCGTATATGCAAAAATGACCAGGGCTGCATCCCCAAATACTGAGCATCCCCAAATGTTGATATCAGACAAAATGTGATCAATTTTTTCATTTCATTAGGAGCTGAGAGCTACCAATACATCACACAATCATCGATGCACGATCATCTACCCTTAGAGTTGCGGCGCACCATCACGAGCCTGCAGTCACTGCAAGTGGTGATGACTGACCGAAGGGATTCTTTGCGAGCACAGACTGGTCGCATTCCAGAGGCTCCGACTCGCCCTCCTTGTTCACAGCCTTCACTCGGAACTTGTACTTCTTGCCCTCCTGCAAGCCGGTAATTTCCGCTTCCGGTTTGTCGGAGGTACCGCACGGGATCCATTGTCCTGAGGAAAAGACAGCAATTAGGACCAAAACGCTCGAGACATTTCTCTTTGTGATCCAAGCGTCCTGTCCGCACCAATGCACCAGCAGACTCAGCCAGTATATAACAGACGCAGTTTCTATACATTGACTGGAAATTGATCCGCGACTTCTAGCCTTATCCAGGGAAAAAACCTGGTCCAAGCTTCTTCCAAACACGTACCGGTGAACGGATCCAGTTTCTCCAGCTCGTAGTGGTCAATCGGACAACCTCCATCGTCCTCCGGCTCCTTCCAGCTCAGTTTGCAGCCGCTAGCCGTGACATCGGACACCTGGAGCACACGGAGGCGTGCCATGAATTGAGGTACACTATGGAACATGGGACACAGGGCATGCCAAACATCTGGTCACACCAGTTGGTAGCAGGAGCCCGTCTCTCGCTCACGCAATGACGGCATTGTATGCAAATCTTTCAAAGGGTGCGTGCAAACGGAAAAGACCTATGCGCATTCAACTCAGAGGATCCCGAAGCCTATTGGCTGAAAGTGCTACTGAAGATCTGAAATGCAGCAACAGCAACAAAACATTTACCCCGATGCACAGTTCACCGTCATCTTTTCTCGGTACCAGGAGCAGCTGGGGCCCGGCGCCACTGACCAGCGAGGGCCGCTGTGACGCGCCCCGCCCCCCGCCGCGGCCCGGGCCGCCGTCCGTCCGTCCGGCGTACTCACATCCAGCGGACCGCCGGGCTGGCCCGGCTTGCCCAGCACGGTGATGTCCACCTGGGCCACGTCCTCGCCCGACGAGTTGCTCGCCGTGATCGTGTACGTCCCCGAGTCGATGCGCCGCGCGCGGAACAGCGCGAACTTGGTGTTGTAGTCGACGTTGGTGATGGTCAGTTCGGGTCCGGTCTCCACGTCCTGCGGCAGCCCGAGGTCACGTGGCTCAGACGGAACAGGTCGAACAGCAGCTCGACAGGGCGCGAGCTGAGCCTGGGCAGGGCGCTCAGCTCAAGATCAGCATCTGGCGCAAACCGGCCAATCTAGCGATAGTAAGGTGACATCTTTCAAGCACTGTCATAAAAAGCTCAATCCTGTGCATCATTAAGAGTAAATTTATCTCCAAAACAGTCCGCATTGCAAGAAATACTCATTTCCAACAATTCACACATGGAGCACCATGCACACAAACATCATTCCACCCAGTAATCGGGCGTTGCGCAGTTGTCCTGGACCTCTCAGCGCGTACCCTGTCCTTGAAGGTCCAGCTGACGTTGGGCGGCGGCTCGCCGATGATGTCCACGTCCAGCAGCACCTGCTGGTTCACCTTCACCACCACCGGCTTCAGATTGTCGCGCACGATACGCGGCTTCACTGCCGGAGTGGCGGGAGGGGGTCAGGCGACCTCTCGGGGCTTCGGACGCCGCTGCAGATCTGTCTGTATCGGCAGCTAGGCGCGTCGTACATGTGGGAGCAGTCACCATGAGTCGCAGTTGATAGATCTCCACGCCAGACGAGCTTCGGCAATGTGTCGCATGCGAAACGCGAGCCAGCCATCAAACACATCACCATATCC